GTTGTGAGCGCGGCGTGGCGGCGGCGGCTAAACCGATTAGCGGCGATTACAGCGCAGATAAGCCGCTTGTGGCGCACTGACACCGCCGCCTGGTGGCGTCGAGCGCGGCCGCCACACACGCCCCCTGTTGCTATTAGTAGCACGCGGCGAGGGATTAGCGGTGACGGCGCGGCGCGGGCCGACAGGGCCACTCCGGGTGGACCGACGTCGGCGTCGCCTCCCCCCAGAGGGCGCTCCACCGCCCGCCGCCACCATCCCGTGCAGGCGGCCGCCCCTGAACGGCCGCTCCGATGCCTTCGCTCGTCCATTACCCTGTCTGTCACGTGGCTTGCGCGCTCAGGCCGTGCTATTTCCGCCGCCGCCGCGTGATTGGCTTCCGCCGGCGCGGTCGGCCGGGACCGACACTCTGCAAAGAGCGTGTCGCTTTGTAACGCGCGATTGATGGCCGAAAATAACTGGATGCTGTTGCCAAATGGCTGCCCGGCCGCCATTGCCTGCCGACCACCGCGGCGGCCCTCCGCATTAATTATGATTAATTTGTAATCATGTACGGCCGGGAGAGCATTTTCTCATCGTTACGAGCCGAGGTGCAGCCAGAGCCACGCTGACCACCGCCAGGCCAACTCTCTAATGGCATTCCCAATTCATAACGGCCTGCTTGTCGGCCTACATAATGAAAACCAGCCATCCATACTGATTGGTGTAAATCGAGCAATAAAAGTTACTCAGGTCTGCGGTCGTTAAATTTGTAGGCGGCAGAAGTGGCTATGATTGGTCGTAAGGCCGCGGACACGCAAGGGAAACAAACGCACGTTGACAGCTGCTAAGCGCCAGCCGAACCGTTGGTAGGTAACGTGATCACGTGATGGGTGTTGGAAGTGCTGACCTCTGGGTAAGAGCGGCGACATTACGGCACCCTGATCACGTGATCACAGTTTTGGAACTGACAAGCAGGCCTGCCTCTCTCTGCCTAGTGGGTAGCGGCGAGGCCATTACAGCACCCTGGCCAAGGACACATGTTGCGTACTGGAACCAACAATTTTTTGGCACGGGCGAGCCATGGACCATTACAGCGCACTGATCAAGTGACGGTTACAAGTAATAGTAGTGGAGCAAGAACTCCTAGTTTAAAGTAGGGCTAATGGGTATTGTAATGCGACTGTCACTCTTTTAGTGATAGCGATTCCATTAAAACAACCAGACCATGTGAGCTGCGCCCGAACCGATAACTTTTGAAAATGAGATGAAAATTCTGACCACGCGGCGGGAAACTGCGCGTGCGTGTGGTCAGATGTCGGCTGGTAGCTTAGGAGCAATACCTGCAGGCAGCTGAGCCCGCTCATAATGCCGTTATTCCGAAAGCGATTGTGTGATGAATAAAGGCGCTTGCACATTACGAGCAACTAGGGCATCTATAACTGGGAGTGTGTACCTCCCCTCATCTGGGATCAGTACCATATTCTATTTTGAAAGGCATTTCCGGTTCAATTAATGCGATCCGATCACTGCTTACTGAGGCCATTCAGTAAGAACAATTTTCTACTGATTTTTTCAGCAGATGAAAGCTTGAACACGAATATAATTTGCTACTTCTGCTCCTTTTAATCAAATTTTGGCATTGAACAATAGTTCTGCGCATTTAATAAGTCCAAGAGCGATATTATCCATATTCGCTGCCCGAGTTATTATTGGAGGCAGTTTCAGTAATAAGTAGCAGTACCTGGTTTCTTTGGATGCCTGACCAGATACCATTAGATTGTGTAGTGATTGGGAACTAGTTTGGCAAAATACGTTATATATTACTTAAATTCATCAAAGAAAACACCCTTGTATTGCGTATTTTGGCTTAAATTTTGCAGCATTTTGCACCATGACATCTGCCATAAGCTGTAACACTGTTCACTTATGCTTGCCTTCTGCATGTTGTCTTCTGTCCACCAGCAGTGCTCCAAAAGGCTGGCGGCGCGTCGAAACCACTATTAGGCACTGGCAAACTGTACGTCGTTGTGTGTAGACCTGCAGTTCCCACCGGCAAACGGATTTATATTACAAAAAGCAATTATCACCCCTAACAGCGGAACAGTTGCTTCTGATAAGCGATAGAAGTTCCGGTTTTAAATTGTGTTCCGCTATGTGCCTCAATCTCGGTCATGGCACGGATATGTTGATTAGAGATAATGCTCCACATTGCAAGATGTTGAAGCAAACGTCACGTATGATAAAATAAGCCCGCTTGTAACTATTGGTGTACTTCGAAGTGAAAAAGACTGCTCTAGACAATAGGTGCTCTCTATCTAGACGCTTTTAGGCGCTCCTCAACGCGTTTTTCCTTGATTGCGTCATGGTACCTTGCACAACATTGATTGAGAGCTAATTGACAGCGGCTTTATCTGGAAATCGTGCTCACGAATGCCAGATATGACCGCCTTGACAGCTGTATTATTTTTGACGCTGATCGCTGCATGGCCAGTGGAATGAGAGGATTTTAATGGCGTTGCTACGGCGTCATATGTGCCCGGGTAACTTTGTAAGTCTGCACCAAATTAGTCCGCACGTTTTCGCGGGCGCATAGCTCAGAAGCTAGACGGGCTTAGGTCTTAAGAGGGGCAGGGGGTGTAAATTGCACTACATGATCTTCATAATAGCTCTTTCAATTCAAACACCCACACAATGTGGAGTACTCTCTGTTAAGTTTATGTTTTTGACCCGGCAAAGCTGCCAGATGCAGACACATTTAAGTAGGATAATCCCACAGTTATCATGCTGCTGGTTGTTGACTTCAATGCCGTAGAGCGTGACAGGTAGCTCTTCTAAGAGCAGGGGATCAGCAGCAGTTTCGACCAAAGTCCGTGTTCACTACCTCCGCGACACTGAAGAGTGTTTATGGCCAAAATGTCTGCTAATCCCCTTGCTCTTAGGATCGCTACCTACCAGTCTAACCGGCATACAGGCTAACAACACCAAGAAGGCCATCAAGAGAGCTATACACTCTCAATCGACGGATTCTACGGGGACTCAATACCAGTTTTGTGAGTTTCCATAACAGTCTTTGCTAGGATTATTTCACTTGCATGCGACTATGGGCTGGTGTTGTTGCATCAGAACGCGTGAGAATAATGTCTCACCCGAAATACATCCAATTTAAAAATGACACATCGGTAAAGATCGCCGCACGGGGCAGTCATGGTAATACACAAAAACAAGACTTGACGTCGGTAACTGGTAGGTATAGATGCTTGTCCGGGTCAATATTGACCTGTGCGCTCCAGGGATGGCATGCCGCCACTCAGAAATTCTTGGCCTGCGCTGGCGTCCTTCAAACCCTGTGGTGTCCATATTTACATTTCCCTCGTTCCAACGGCAGCTGTTTGCTGATTGCCGCGGCGCCGGAGCCGCTGCCGCCAGTGGCGCCTCTGGTGGCGGCAGCGCCGGCTCCGCAGATGGCGGTGACAGGGGCGAGACCATTTCGGCGGGCGATGGTATCGCCTGCTGATCTCACGCTGATACGATGATGAATACCTGACTCTGGTAGTACCTGGCTGGGACGGCCTCGCGTGCTGGGGTGGCTAGACAAAGCATGCGCGCACCCTCCGTTGTCATGACGACGAGTTTTTCTCATGGCCGGGTGGCTCGAGAGTCGACTGGCGAAGGCATCCATGGCGGCACCGGTGTTCAGCGAACTGACCAGAGAAAGTGCATAGGGGCAAATGAGACATTGCCATGCTCCTCCTCTGTCCTACTGGTTTGTTCATCCGCGCGAACAGGTCGGGCATTGTGGAAAATGATCATTGGAACAGTGGAAAACGCAATCGAAAGCGGAATGCATCGGAATAGCTAATTCCCACGGACATGTGACCGAACAGAATTGTACGTGGTGTGTAGCGTATTTAGTATGTGTGATCACGAGACAGACGCGGTGGCCTCCCGCGAGAAGAGGCTAGACGAATCAGACCCTGAATTTTGGAAGTTAAGCTTGCGTTTGCCTTTTCATATATTGCTTTGGATGCCGTCTGCTGATTATGACCACCACCAAGTTTTCTTTAGATAAAAAAGTTATTCTTCCTTTTTGCAGCCAGTGAATGACTGTCACAAATATGCAGTCGTGATGGCAAAATGCTGAGAAATTGTTGTGAGGGAGAAATGTGGCGGGGACCGAGCGCGTTTCAATGACGACATGTTTAATCTGGAGTAATTCAGATGGAAATTCGCGTGGTCACTGCTGCCACGATGCGTTTTCCGCATATCCATAGATGGATTTATAGTTACGCAAGTACTATAGAAGCAAAGTAAAATTTCTTTGGTAGTTTTGTCACTATGCCGCTCAATCAAGTCCCCTCAAACTTACCCGACCTGCATTAAAGTTTGACATCGGGCTAGCAGTCGGACACCCTGCAGGGGCGGCAGATAGGAGCTTTTAATTAAGAATTTTCTTTAACATAGGTAAGAGCTTAAGAGCCTTCCTAAGACTCTGCCCCGGTTACCGCATGGGTGAGTTCAGGTCACCCTTGCTTCCACACTAAATGCTTTGCATATTTCATTCCCGATCCCCACTGAGCCGAGCTATCCGCCTGACAGTGTCGCCAAAACAGACCACAACCGTTACGGTTAACGATCCTCTGGAGGAACCAGCCGACCACAGACCACCGGTTACCACCCGAGAGTGGCTCCTCGCACATTCCAATCCCCCACGCACCTCAGCGCGCGCACAGCGTTCGCCGGCGGCAGCCCCGTAACCGCTCCCCACGTGGGGGGAGCCCCGCCCGATCCTCGGACAGCCCGCGGCACCGTCTGTGTTTGTGCCGCCATCGACCACTGTGCCTGGACAGTCACCTGTTGACGAGCCGACGCTACGTACTCGCCAAACACACAACTGAGGCTGGACCCGCCGTGACCGCGTCTGCCGCCGACCCCGCCGTGACCGCGTCTGCCGCCGACCCCGCCGTGACCGCGTCTGCCGCGCGCACCGAAGTGGATCGCGCACAACCTGATCAGTTTCAGAGTCGTGACGCGCGGAAACGGCCAAGGTGCTGCTTTTCGGCGACAAGGGGCAGTGCTGGCCGACGGCCGGCGGCGCCGCTTCACCAGCTGCGGAGACGCGACGGTCGTCAAGGCGGTGGACGAGAGCGGCGCCGTGGTCGACAGCGAGGTGATCCTCTGGCTGGACCGTGACCCGACCGAGCGTCGGCTCTTCTATCGGCTGACAACGGCGTCCGGCCGTCGGCTGACCGTCACGCCCGGCCACCTGCTCTACGTGCTGGACGCGGCCAGCGCCGCCGCCGGCAACGTCACGGCGCTGGACGCGCGCGTCACCTTCGTCAAACACGTGATCGAGGGCGACTACGTTCTAGTCGGGCGGCCGGCGGGCGGCGCGCCAGCGGCCGAGCGCGTGGCCGCCGTGGACCTGGTGACTGGGCGGGGCGTGTACGCGCCCCTCACGCGGCACGGCACCGTGCTCGCCAGCGACGTGCTCGCCTCGTGCTACGCCATGGTGGACGACCAAAGCACGGCGCACGCCGCCTTCCTGCCCGTGCGCTGGGCGGTGAACGTACGCGACTTTGTTATGCATTTGTTGGAACAGTTTGGCGGCGGGCGGGCGCCGCGGCGGGCGCTGGTCGCGGCCGTCGAGCCCTCGTCCGGCGTGCACTGGTACGCCAGCCTGCTCTACGCGCTCTCCGACTACGTCCTGCCCCGTGATATGATGCTGGACTGAGCCGGACGGGCGCCCGGACGCGTGCCGCGTGCAGGACGTGGTGGCGCGGCGGACGTGTTGTTGGTCCGGCGCGCGCGCGTAGAGGATTTGACACGTGCGGTCGTTGGGTGTATGCGTGCGCGTTGTCCGAGCTTGTCTGCGATATGCGCGTCTGTTTATGCCACATTTTATCATTAACTCATCGGCGGAAGAGCTATTTATTTGCCGGGGCGGGACACTGTACATTGTCACGGATCGGCGCCGCGCAGCCCACCATGTGCGCTCTCGTGTTTGCTGTGCTGCTTTATGGCGTGAGCGATGTTTCCGACAAGCATCAAATATAGGAGACTGACTGACGGCGGCGTCCTGTATTGCTTTGCCAGTTGCATGACAACAGCAAGAGTTGGAGCACGGTGGCTTAATTCCTGGTTTGTTTTGTTTTGTCGTTGTCTTGATTGAACGAGCGATGTTACCGATCTTTTGATGACGTTATGAACTAGTGGAAGGGGGAAACCGTGCTGCTCGCCCGTCCAACAATCTGTGGGTGAATTGGCCATGTCGGACACCACCTTATCACAGGCGGCGGTACACGGGCGTCATGGCCAAATGTCGGCTGTGTGAAAAGAAATCAGAACTCCATTCGTTCATTCAAAAGGTTGGCGATTCCATGTATATGCCATGACTCACATGGGGAAGAAATGTGCCAGAATTTCAATCATTTTAAAGCGTTTATGGAAGGATTCGCAATTCATGATATCATCTTAAAGCGTTTTAAAACCCTGGGTTTCGCGATAGCTTGACCAATGCTCCTTTTTGCATAGCATCCACTCCAACTTCCAACTTCGTTGATACAATATCAAATTTTGAGTTCAAATGGAAGAAAATAATATCAAAGGAAAATAAGACCCATGTAGCGAAACGCTTTGTTGACGATGAATTGAAAACATCTCAAACTGTCCCAAGGTGGTCATCAAATAATACATCAACTCAACAATTTCATATCTTTGGCAGCTAGAGCCCATGTTAACTATGCCGTGGAAATGGGTTTGGTGTTTCCCCATGCTAAATTGTGATTGATATCACTCAAAAGTTTACATGAGAGAAATGCAAATGCCTAAATTTAATAACATGTAAACTAAAAAACGTTTATGGACGAATCATACACCATTCTGTTCCAAACCAACTCTAAGGCCAATTGTATGTATACGAGCTCAAGCAGATCACGACTTTTATATCACGAACAAGAACATCACTAGATAGAACACGGTGAACAACACGCAAACAAATTCCATTCTCGCTGTGACGCGTGTGTTTGCAGAGCGCGCGCGCTCGCGGCATCAGATCAGATCACGCATGCTCGCGGCACCAGATCAGAGCACGCGCGCTCGCGGCATCAGATCAGATCACGCGTGCTCGCGGCATCAGATCAGATCACGCGCGCTCGCAATATTAGATCAGATCACGCGCACTCGTGGCATCAGATCAGAGCACGCGTGCTCGCGGCATCAGGTCAGATTACGTGCGCTCGCGGCATCAGGATATATCACGCGCGCTCGCGGCATCAGACCAGACCACGCGCGTTCGCGGCATCAGATCAGATCACGCGCGCTCGCGGAACCAAGATAGATCACGCGCGCTCGCGGCATCAGATCAGATCACGCGCGTTCGCAGCATCAGATCAGATCACGCGCGTACGCGGCATCAGATCAAATCACACACGCTTGCGGCATCAGATCAGATCACGCGTGTTCGCGGCATCAGATCGGATCACACGCGCTCGCGGCATCAGACCAGACCACGCGCGTTCGCGGCATCAGATCAGATCACACGCGTTCGCGGCATCAGATCAGATCACACGCGCTCGCGGCATCAGGATAGATCACGCGCCCTCGCGGCATCAGGTCGTGCTAAGTCAACCGAGAATCTGGGCGCGAAAACCAGGCGAGAGCGAAAGCAGCGTAAACAAGCGCAAGGAAGGGACAAGAACAGACGCAAGGGAAGCGTGCTTCAGGCCCCCAAATAATGATTTTGACATGCTCTCTTGCACTGCACTCATGCACTCATGCGGTACTATACCGCATGAGTCCATCTTCGATCAAAATAGCAGGTATATAACATCCAGTGGCGTAAGCAGACGAGTGCGGTGGGGGGGGGGGGGACACGTGGCCCCGCCCCCATAGGTTTCGAGGGTCTCTTCAGCCCCCGAGATCGATGTTCAAGGGCTCGATTTGAGCGCCCGAGGGGCCCGAAGGACTGGTCGGAGGTCACATTAAAGACCCGAGCCGCCTTTGGGCCCACAAATGCCAGCCAGATAGCCTTTTACGCTAATTGGGGGCTCCATGAGTCGATGAGGTCGTCTATGCTAGCCAAAATGAACAGTCGATTCCGTGTCGGCCTGAGCCTGAGGACCGATTTCCGAAACGGGGAAATAAGCCCTCGTGAACTCAAGGTTCCTAAGTCAACGAGGGCCCCTGTATCAGCCAGGGCCCCACAGTGCCTACCAGGAGATCCTGTGTGCGTAGCAGGCCCGAGTTGGCCTGGGATAGTGTTTGAGGGGATCCGAAGAACGGCTCGAAGACCAAGTCGGAACTGGCGATTAAGGACCGGATGGGAAGACTGAAGGGTCCGAAGGTGCCGAAAGGTTGGCTGTAGATCGTATTAAGGATCCTCGCCAAAAGGGCCATGGTCTCAAATTACAGTTAGACGACCTCTTGTACCGATTGAGAATTCCTGGGACAATGCGGACCGCTACTTCGGGCAGAAACCCCCAACACCAAACAGTTCCCTCGCTGTCGGTCTGAGCCCTAGGGGCCCATTTCCTAAGCAGGACAGGGTTGGGTCCGCAATTTTCATTGGTCGGGCCGCCTGCAACAATGCTTCTGTGTCGGTCAGGGGCCCCAGTGCCTGACAGCGTGTCCTGCGTCAACAAGAGGCCTCGGGTGGGTCAGGGAACGCTCGACTGCCCTTGGGACAATGCAGGTCTCTATTTCGGCCAGAGGCCACCAACGCCGAACAGTCGGCTCTGTGTCGGTCCGAGTCCTGGGGCCCCCATTTATCAATCAGGGAGAAGGCCAGGGCCGATGATTTGCACTGGTCTGGGCCTGGAGAAATGGAGGGCCCCTGTGACACCCTGTGACAGTCAGGGGCCCACAGCGCTAGACGGGGGGGGGGGGGGGGGCTGTGCCAACAAGGGTCCCGGGCCTCTTGCGGTGGTCGAGGCCCTCTGACAATGAAAGGAGATATGAGAACTTATGATGAGAGCTCACAATGTGACATTGGAAGAGTCCTTTGTCAGTCAGGGTCCCCAGTGCCGAACAGAGGCTGTCCACTCCATTTTAGCCAACGACCCGTTGGGCCGAACTGAAGCCTCTGTGGCGATTATATGACGGCCTGCTGTGATAAAGGATATTCCGCGAATGAGGGCTCCTCCATCAATCTGGGGGCAACCACGCTGATCAGAGAGCTTCTCGCGTCAGGGAGGGGATCAATGTATGCTGCATCTCTCTAAGGGCCTCCGGATCGACCAGGGGACCTCTCCCCGTGTTGTCAGAATGATAGCCAATAGGTACCCCGCGCTAGGACGGAATGGACATTTAGCACCTGCATGCTGAGGACGATAATGTGCCCTTTAGTGCTCTCCCACAAGGTCCCTTGCTTGGAAAAAGTAAAGGGCTCTCATTAACTTTTATGCAGTGAATCGGAATGAGGTCAAAAATAAAAGGCCCAGTCCATGTTTTCCTGAGGACGTGCATCTTGTTACAGAATCGACATGTGAACGAACTGCATGAGACGGTTTTGAGCCTAGGCAGTTGCAGTCTCAGGAACAAGAACAGCGATGGCTTTGGTCAGAGTTTCCGTGAAACTAAACGGCGTTCGCTGCTGCAGATAACGCCAGGTGCTGGGCGGCGGTCGCGCGGGAACGATTGTCGTCAAATAATGCTTCCGAAAGTCGTTCGAAATCAATTCACACAGTGCAAAGACCAGGCGGGGTATCCTTTTCATCGCTGTAATGTGAGGCTGCCCTCCAAACAGATGAACAGTCGCAGCAACACGAAAAAATGCTACCTTTACTTTTGCAATTCATCTGCACCAGATTCCTTCACCAGTTCGCGGCGCAGTGAATGCTATTCCGTTTTTATTATAAATCCCAAAGTGGCACGGGTGAAATTCACGCCAAGACTGCCTTCTAGCCGTACAGAGGTTTGGGACGTATCGACTGCAAACGACCTAGAATTGATGTACTGAAGCGCTCAAAACTACTTATTTCAGATGTACTTATATCAGATGATCAGACTACATTCTCCTCCTCCCGTTGGCCGCCACTTAGTGTTAGCGGCAAAGCCGAGGCCGCGCGGCCTCTGGAGACTATACTTTCACTATCAGGGGCCCTTTGTCAACCTTGCCCCCGCCCCTTGTCAAGGCTCGGGCTGCGCCCCTGATAACATCCATGCGAGCGAATCCCTGCATCTGGATCTGCCGGAATCCAAAATGCGCTAACTAAATTTCCGATGGTTCTTTGAGATTTATCGCCTATGAAAGATTGCCCGGCATCCACCAGAGTCTAATATTCTTACCATAATTTTGGTGACAAGTCCCCAGTAATCCTCGATCCACTTTTAAATTTTGGCACAAGATATTTCAAAACAGTTTTTAGTTACCTGATTTATCAAGTTTACTTAAAACAAAAATAGCTTGTGCAGATAAGCCATCCCATCTCCAAGACGTGACCCTCAAGTTTACGAATGACTGCTCATCTAGTGGCAACTCTGCCATCTTCTGAACCTGGCGTTAAAGATAGTTGTCACCTTTACAGAGGGTTTGAACATTGAGCGTGATGAAATAATAAGCGCCTGTAGGAAAGTTTTTTTACACAGGAATAAAACACGGGTATTTTAGTAGCTTCATGAGGCACACATGGTATGAAAGCATGTTTAATTGGGTAGTGGCACGGTGTCATTACTGCTGACGACAAAGCTGCGTCATACAAATTAATAGGGGGACCAATGGTGCACATGGCTGCTGCACTGAGTCACGTGGAAATGGGCATGGGCGCAGCCAGGACTTCCTTAAGCAAAGGTTAAATTCCGTTTCCGTCAAGTCATGAGTATTTTCCAGTTATCTTACTACACGTTTCGTTTAGGTGCAAGCCCTTTTCATGAAGTCCTCAAGGTTGCGTTCAAAAGCCGCACGGATATAAAATTGATGTCTGTAGGTTTGAACCATGCCCCAAATCAAGCACGTGAATTTCATGAATAAAAACGCAAGCAGTGGCATTTGATGATACTTTCCTTTAGTAAAAAGCACATTTTTCATTTCATTTCTTCATTGGAATTCCCATCCATACCGCAACTGTTCCCATATTTTTTCAGGCTTCTACCCAACCCAGCCCGGTACACATCTCATGTACACGTATCCGTGGGCTTCATACAACGCGTGAAGACAAAAAATGACTCGATACGAGCGGATGCATACATGAACATGTGAAAGTCTTGAACAGGTTTCCTTCACGCGATACAATGCAGCCCTGTAGTGTTGAGTCGGCCGTAGGCTTTTTAATACCACTCATTTTTTATAAGCCCCGGGAAAATTGTTTTACGATGTTATGCTTTGATTTTTCCACACCAGTCGACACACCTCAGCAGTGCGGTTCCTTTGCTGGCACGCCTGGCCCTCCAAACGGTGGGCCACCTATGCCCCAGTCCACCACCTCGGCGTTCTCGTCCTCGGCTGCTCCATCGCTGTTGGAGAGGCTTGCTGGCCACAGACCAAAGCCAGAAGTCTAGTGGCGATAGGTCTGGACCACCCAATAGCTGGCCGAAGATGGCCGACCAGTGCGGTCCCGAGGGTCGCCTTACGCGCAGCTTGCACGCTTAACTTGCTGCTCAGCCAGACCCGGATAGCGAGCGTCGCGTGCACAGGTGCTCCGTCTTGTTGGAACAAATATTGTGTATCTGCAGTCAGACACGGATAGCGAGTGTCGCGTGCACAGGTGCTCCCTCTTGTTGGAACCAATATTGTCTATCTGCAGCCAGACGCGGATAGTGAGTGTCGCGTGCACAGGTGCTCCGTCTTGTTAGAACCAATATTGTCTATCTGCAGTCAGGGGCGCAGCCAGTCTTGGTAAGGTGGGGAGGGGGGAGGGGGGCAGGGTTGGCAAGCACCCTGTTTGTGAAAGCTTCCTCCCCCAAAACAAATCACCGAATATGGCCCACCTGATCTCGGGGAGCCCGATATTCCTCGCATCACTTAAATATTCACTTTCCTTGACCTAAGTCAGATGCCACCGGAAGGTGCAGTTCTGCTGTCCACTCATATGACAATGATTGAGTGAACTTTTTTTAAAAACGATAGCACTCTGGAGCTCTGCGGGATCTCCTCTGGGTTCTACAGAAATGTTGAGGGCCACGTGATCACGGATTGCAGATCAAAATGAGGTCAACAGTTGGTTTTGGCGTGGCTAGCCCATGTCCGCCTGTGAATGTTCAACTTTCATTCAGATTCGAGAATTAAAAAAACATGCAAAATATCGTTCTGAGCATGCGTGCTCGCAGTTCCTAGATGCAAACACCCCGACGGCCGGTGCTGCGATCTTCTAGCCGCACGGCGTCATCCCTGCGGGCTGACGCTAAGCAGCGGCCAACAACCGGACGAAAACGATGACGTTTCTGGAAGAGGCGCCCTTGAGCGTGTGTGTGTGTGTGTGATTAGAGATTTACGACGCACTCAGCTACTGAGGCTATATGGCGTCGCCTGCCTCTCACTCTGGCAGGAAGGGCGGACACCGCGGGGAATCGAACCCCGTAGCCTTTGAGCGCTTTTGACCATCAATTCGCACGTGTAGAAAGTGGTCCCGGCGTATATTTGACCCCCGCAATTTTTGGGTGTTTGATATGGAGGTATCGCTGTATGCGTCCAACTGGTGCTGAAACCTGGTGGTGGAACTAGAAAAATAACGGTGGAATATCTATTTTCGTGTTATAACTGTTTAACTGTTCCGACGATAACCTCAAAATTGTAAGGGTGAGATACACATCCTAGCCTAGTTTTTGAACGGCACGAACTACTTTCGAATGACTTTTGGAAACATCATTTAGCGGTCGCTGCAGCGCGCCTGGCGCCTGGGGTTAGCTGTAGCCGGCTAACGCCACTCGGTTTTACAGAAACCGCAGCCCCGGCCACCGGTGTTCTTGCCCGTAAGGTTGTGCGCGAAGGCTCAAAACTGTTCATGTAATTCGTTTCACTAGGCGATTCTGAAGCAATATGGACATCCTCAGGTAAACATGGGTTGGCTCTTTTCATTTTTGACCTCACATGGATCCGCCCTATTGAACACTAAGGAGACTCCCAACCTTTCCCATGCAAGGTGCCCTGTCGGTAAAACACCAGGGACACTGTATCACCACCTTTCCCAGTCAGGTGCTGAAGGGGTATTCCGTCTCAGCGTGGGGTACCTATCGGCTGGCGACACGGGCGCATGGTCGACCCGAGGCCCATAGAATGGTAGATTATGCATTTGTCTCTTCCCTGACGCGGGAGGCCCCGTGATCCAGACAATTGACCCTGGATGGACGGAAGGGGCCCTCAATGGTGCAAAAGTTCCCTTATCGCCGCAGGGGTTCAATGGCTTAACGGGCCCTTATCTGAAATGGGGTGGAGGACCCAGTTCAGTGCTGGGGCCCTGAGTGACATAGAGACATTCCATTGCCTCACTGTGTCTCTTCGTCAAAAGTTTTCATATCTCCTTTCATTGTCAGAGGGCCTCGACCAGAGCAAGAGGCCCTCTGGTATTCGGGGTCCCGTCTCAGTCCTTACGCAGGCAAATGTCTCCTTGGCCGACTCAGGGCTCCTTACCGACGCAGCTCTCCCCCTCGTCTAGCGACTGTTCGGCACTGGCGGTGCTCTACCGACACAGAGGCCCTCATCGACTCTATCGCGCAGCCTGCTGTGGAGGTTCGACCACACCATCCGTCCGGTGATGTGATCAAGCTGCGCGTCATGGTGATCCGAGCACATTGGTCGCAGTAGTAATTCCACCAGGCGCTCTGCTCGGTTGATCCCAAACCCGCTGCCTGACGTGGAGATCTGATTATGCTTGCGTTGGAGGTGGTCTGATCCGATCACGTGGATATTCAATCGCGCCGTTTATGGTGATCGGATCACGCTGTCTGCTGTGGTGGTCTGATCTCGTTGTCTGCTGTGGTGATCTGATCTCGCTGTCTGCTGTGGCGATCGGATGACACCGTCTGCTGTGGTGATCTGGTATCGTTGTCTGTTATGGTGATCGGATCACGCTATCTGCTGTGATAATCTGATCACGCTGCCTGCTGCGGTGATCTGATCTCACTCCCCGCTGTGATGATCTGATCTCGCTCTCTGCCGCGGTGATCTGATCACGCTGTCTGTTGTGTTGAACTGATTGTGTTGTCTACCGCTGGTCATGTTATCCGCCGTGGCAATCGGATTGACACCGTCTGGTGTGGTGATCTGATCGCACGTCCGCCGTGGCGATTCCACAGTACTGTTGCGGTGATTCGTTCAGACTCCCCGCCATGAAGTGGTGACCCGAATATCAGCACTCGTCAATGCAGTCGGGCCCGACCGTCCGGTACACTTCGAGCCAATTAATGATGATAAAAACCATGCGTGTGCACATAACGAGCAATTTCACATATCCCATGACCATTTGAAACCCCATTAAAATCTCTTCGGCACTGCTACTGTCGTCGGTTTACTGCAGGTATGAAAACTTCAGCTGACAAATATTACAATTTCCCCACACATTCAAAAGACACCAGTTCAAAAAATGCAAATATATTGCCTAACGATGCCACGCAAAATCGGGAGGGCACATAGCGTGCGTGCCCGCCTGCCGCGGTCGGCAGACAGGTGGGCAGACGGCAGCAGGCAGGTGGGCAGACAGCAGCAGACACGGGGCCGCTGACCAGACGCGCCTCAGACGGCTGGAGAGGGCACGAGCCGTGCCCAGCCGCTGAGGGAGCCGGCCCAGCTGCGTCTCGGCCCGGTCAGAAGCGCGCACCGCGGGCCGCGGCTCTACACAGCCTCGGCCACGGGCGAACACGGCGGCAGAGCGGCACAAGCGAGAACGGGCCGCCCTCTGCGGCGCTCGTGCGACAGCGAACGGGTACCGGACGGGTGACAGAGAGCCAAGAGGAGATCAATGACACTGAAAACGACGAAATCGTGGGCGTATGTGACGCCGCTGAAGTTTCCGAGACAAGACCTCAGCATATAACTCGGGTGATGCCAGGTACCAATCCTACACAGACCCCCAGATATGATTTTGGAGGATTATGGGCACGTTGATTCTCAGCTACGATCGCGCAGTATCCATCTATCCCCACACCACACCGCCCCGTCCTCTATAAGTAGATATTTGATTACCTTTTACATATACTGAATTGCCACAACATTCCGTTCAACGTAAGGTACAAACTTCTACGCCTGGTATGAACAAAGCCACCACACCCTTGTATGCCATGTCAAGCACAGGCAACATATTACACCACTTGACTGAGCCATAACGTAATCACAAAACGTCTGCACACTAAGATAAACATGAGCAAAATAAATGCACAATGCAACTTGGTCCCAGCAAGCACATAACTAGAAACATTCACAGATCAGGTCCTGGAAAAACCTGGCATGGCACTAAAAATGGAACACGCGTCCACAACTACCTGCATCAGCTCATTCACATTGATCTGGTACACATGAAAGAGCTGGCTTTTGTTCAGATCCCCAGAGACCAGCTTTCCTGCTTACAAAGCTGTTCACTACAGGCACCCCGCGGCAATGCAGCCCGAAGGATGACCGGCAACACAGTGCTGGGTGGCTCACTGGGATACAGAATGAGCCATACACGACCGCAAGGGAAATACCAGACGCACGCAGGCGCCGAAGGCAGACCAACAGGCAAAAGCTCCTCACAAGCCATTCAGGGCCGTTCAAAACGGCGTGGAACAGAACGGGCTGGTGAGGTCAGTGACAGGTCACGCTTTTTGAGCCAGGACACGCTGAATTGAGTCCGAGGGATAACGAATGAGGCCCGTCTCGTACTGCACCGGCCAGTAAACACACGGAGCACAGGTCACAAATCAATTAAGGAGCATGTTGTTGAGTTATAATCTGCGTTAGAAAGCTCGAAGGTTCTGCAGTATCCGCACGCACTCACTCCAGGCAGCATGCTCGTCTCTATTGCTTTGCCATCTTTGGAGAAAATCCACGATACAGCTTCTGAGATCGGCCGACAGGTGTCCTACCGGTCATCGAACGAGTCGTAGGACTTGCTGGGGCCTTCGAAGAGCGGATCCATCTCGGGTCGGCCGTTGCGAGTGGAGCGCCACCAGGTGACGGCCGCCAGCCGCTCGGCCAGCCAGTCGCGGATGCTCGGCGAGCTCGGGTCCCAGCTCCGGTACAGCACCGAGTTCAGCACCGCCTGGGATGGGTTCACCACCGCCTGCAACAGACGCGCGGACTCAGAACCGCCCGCGCCGCCCACACGCGCTCAGTACCGCCCAGCACGGGTGATCTGCGGGACCACGAGCCACGCCTCTCCTGTGCTACGCCCGGCGAATCCAATGCTGGCAGCAGGCTCGGCGTCACGCTGGCGGCCATGACACGAATCAAGACTCGCGTCAAAAGTCAAACGAAAACCACACGCACACACTTCAGAACGTGGCGGAGCCGCAGCAACATCCATCTAGCGCTCTTTGAACCTGCACCACCGCGCACAAGAATGTGTGAATGTGAGTGTGTGTCACTGGGACCTTACGACGCACTCAGCTGCTGAGGCAATATGGCGTCGCCTGCCTCTCACCGTAACAGGAGGCCGGACACCGTAGGGAATCGAACCCCGTACTGGGCACAAAAACCCAAGGAGAATAATGCGCCAAACACGTCAAGCACACCGCCATTTGAGGGCCGCTTGCCACTCGCGCCCTTTGCGCAAAGGGCATGCTCACCATGAAGTACCAGATGACCACCACCGGCTTGACAGGTATATTAGGCCACGTGCTCCACAGGATGATGCCGTTGACGAGGTTCGGCACCCAGCACAGGTAGAAGGCGATGATGATGCAGACAAACTTGAAGCGCAGGTAGAGTAGCGTGCGACGCTCCCGGTTGCTGAAGCTGGAAGCACGCGGACGGGGGCGGGGTCACCGCACGCGCTGATACCGACCGATACGGTCACCAAAACCGTCCACAACACGCGTGAATAACGCATAACGCATTACGGTCACCAGAGCCGATGTCGCACCAAGCCCAGCAGAGCTAATGGCGATTTTAACGGCCCCTTACACCAGTTGTCATAGCAACCGCGACGCCGGTTTGCGGGCGCTTGCGGCGGCCGCGCGCCGGTCCTCACCGGTTGGAAGTGTTGACGATGCGCGCGCGGATCCTGGCCAGCGAGAACCGCACCAGCAGCGGGCACGCCACCAGCACGCTCACCAGCGGCACGTACACGCACACGTAGTTGGGGAAGTGGCGCAGGAAGCTGTTGGTGCCCCGCGCGTGGCAGCTGAAACAGCGCGCTCGAGTGAAAGGGCGGCCGCGGGGCAGGGCCCGGCGGCCCGCGCGAAGCGAGCTCTCGGCGGCTGAGCACACAGCCCTGGTGAGTGGGCCGGCTGGACGCAGCGCCGGGGATGAGGCAGCAGGTGGCCGACCGCCCAGATACCGAATCAGGAATGACCGCCACATACGTACATGCCAATCAACGTTCATAAACCTGTCAATGATGTGTCACTGCCGATATGAAACTAAAGCGCACCGAACGCCACCGAAAGCCTTCCGCACACCCTGCAAAGCCAGGCCAAAGTGCGGCTCCGCTGATATTCGTCCCGTCGCAACGTCCCTAAATAGCCGAAGAGTCGGCGCAAACGGAGCGCACTGACATCTACCAATTCAAAGGGAAGTTCCATATTTGAAAAATATTGAAGCAAGCATCAGATATGATGCAATAAGTTTACTTATAACTATTCGCGTACTTGTCATATATTCGCATACATGTCATATGGCAAGTGGAAAAGACCGCTCTAGGCGACACCATTTCTCTGTTTTATATATGTGCTTCCTAATGCGTCATTGTTTGATGACGTCATTGCATGTTACACAAAATTGATTGAGAGGCAGTTGGTGACCGTTATATCTGGAAATCATGTTCACGAACACCAGATATAAACGACTCAACAATTACACTTTCCATGATTTTGACCACCGCATGACAAATGCAATGACAGGATCCGAATGTTATTATGACATGCTGGATGCTTGGGTGACCTCGAAAGTCTCCCGAAATAGTCTACACATATTCGCTCAGAAACTACACAAGTTCAGGTCTTAGGTCTAGGTGCAGGTCTAAAAAGGCAGGGCTATAAACTGCACCGAGTGGTTTTCAAGATGGCTATTTCAGTTCAAAGCCCCATAAAAATGTGGAACACCTCCTTTAAATCTCAGTCACACCAACACGCAAGAGAAAGCACTAGTGATGCGTGCACAGCGCTAGTGTGAATAGGCGTGTGAATGCATGACGTAAACACGCGACCGCCGGACGCAATCGCTGTCGCCAATCTCCAGCACCGGGGCAGCGTAACCAGCCGGTCGCTGGACTCACTTGGTGTCCGGCACGAAGAGCAGCAGGAAGCCGATCACGGACAGTACCAGCGGCACCAGCCACGCCCACAGGCCGTACGTCACCATCGAGCCGTTGGTGCCCTTCAGGGTGCGCAGCACGTCCACGGCGTACAGCAGCGTCCACATGTAGGTGGCCGTGTAGAAGAACTGGGTGATGGCCTGCCGGCAGCATGGCGGCGGGGACTCAGCGGGAGAGCAGTCCACATGTCCACAGGTCCGGCGACGGCAGATTACCGCTGCACGCGCTCCTCGCACGACACGTTAAGGCTTCACCAAAAAAGGCTTCCAGAGTTCGAGGCGTGTGGTCAAACGACTACACTCCTTTTCCAATTCAGTCGGTGCGCCACTGCATTCAGCTGAAGACTAAGAATCACGCACCTGGACCAAATGTGGAAGGGTGGAAAGGAGGAGCAGGTATGTGTGTGGGAGGGGGAGGGGGAGAAAAAATAGGAATAGGTGAGAGGGGTTGGACAGACACAACTTACCGATGAGACGATGCAAAAGTCACTGGAGAACTCATCAATGCCCATTTTCCGTATCAGGGCGTCGTCCATCAGCCATGCTACGCATCGCAGTATCACGCCTGGAACAGAGCGACGCCAGATAAAGACATGTTCCATCCCAGGAACAAGTAGAAGAAACGGAAACTTAGCTGACCACTAAGCATAGCACGCTACTCGCTGCAATAATTGAAACACATTACAGGTCACAGCACAGTGCAATGCATGCTCGATTCTTAGGTACCGATCATTAGCTTGTGTTGCAACCCACTGACAGATACCACTTTTTTGGTGTAACCAGGCCGTTTCGCAGTGAGACGCACGAAAATGACTACACAACCCGCACCTTGTTTGGACCCTGAACGCGTCACCGTAACGCCCTCACATACGCACCCGCACTTACTACTGGATGATCTCTTACTTCGACTCACTGGGGACCGGCATCACGTCAACAAAGCCCGCAACTGCGCGGCATGTAAGACAACTGCCACTGGAAGGGCACGTGGCACAGCTCACCTAGGGCAGCCATCAAGTCGGCAAACCCCAGCCACTGCAGGATGCGGCGGCCGCGCAGTATGAAGGTCGGACGCCGCTGGCTGCTCCGCTCCAAGATCACGTGGTTGTGCAGGATCTGCGCGACGAGCCGTCACGTTAGCTGCGCGTGCACAGAACGGACACGCACGAGGGCTCAAGCGGAGGCAGCTCAGCGCACGAGGACTCCGGCGGGGGCAGCTCATGCGGCGAGCTCGTGCCGAAGCTATTGGGATATTTTGCCTCGGAAGAGAGACCTTACTTAGTAACGAGCCTTGCTTAGCAACGAGTGTGTACGTTAAGTCACTCAATCGGTATATTTTAAGATGTTCGTAACGAGGCAGCATAAATCCGCTTGAAAAGCTATATCGCGGTTTTAACACTCCTGACAATCACATTCACGTGAACCCAGTGAGCCAATACTGTTTGGGAAGTCGCCACGGCATATTCCGAAATCCTAGCGAAATCAAACATTCCTAATTTGATCTACATGAGAAGCTGTAGAAGCAGACGAAGCAACGACACGGAATGATTGTCGACGCGGCGCTAACAATCAAAAGATAAAACCCTGTATGCATGACATTTTCGCGCTAGATTACGTGATGACGTGGCTATCGTTAGATCATTCACTCATCTCGAAGACAATGGTGAACGTTCCACCGCATTCCCTCGCGTTGTTTGCCCAAATATAAGTAAAATGTTTACGAGATGCCACAGTTCGAAGCCAAGCTCCTTAACGCAAGGTTCGTTGCGTTATCAGTCGCACCTCTCACTAATGTTTGTGGACGTTGCCTCTAACGACACAACAGAAGAGTCACTTTTTTCGCTTTCTCCAATATCGGCGTCACACAGTCGTCACCGCTTCGATCATATCGCTGGCCTATCATCTCCCGCGTTCCGACGCGCCGTAGTTGACATAGGGCTGAGGGCCGAGCGTCGCAAAGTCTGACAGTCATTGGGTGGTCTGGCTATTAGCGCCAGACCACAACGACCAGCTGATGCAGCGCGGAATAAGCAAAGCGGAACGTCGGAATATGTCTGACTCATGACGGCCGTGTATAGATAACACACGCTGATCGAAAACAGGTGGAGGTCGCACATGTCGTTTGGCTGATAATGAAGCTCAAGTTACGTTTACCGACCTGTGGCGATCCTCAAACTTCTGACGGTTCAAAAGCCGCGGCATTTTTGCACTTCAGTTCGGCGGATGGATAGATGGATGGATGTATGGATGCATGCATGGATTCCGACCAATGTAGACTCGGTGCCACATTTCAAACTGCTGGCTGCGGCACAAGCGCGGCTCACGGGAGTGAACATCATTGGGGTCGGGTGGGTTCGGGACCTAAAAAGCTTGTTTGCAGATTGGGCTATTTGCAAAGCACAATTGTTGAGTACAACAGAAACCTGTATTTTCACTCGCTAAGTGCTTTCTGCGACTACTATTCCTGTGAAGATGCATCCAACGATTCAAATAACTTACCGATAACTACCTTTCCTCACCACTATATTGCGACACAGGGGTTAGATACTGGGGGATTGTGAGGGGGGAGGGGTCATTGCCCGCGTGGAAAAGTCGCTGTTCCTTACAACTTTTGGGGGGATATGCACAACTCCTGGAATGACAGCATGTACTGCAAATATTGGAAGCCATGACGTCCCCACGCCGCAAACACGACAGAGGCATGCCGGAAACGAGATAACAAATTTGTAAACATATGAAGTCATCAATATGCCAATTAGCGTCACCCAAAAACAAGGCTTTTTGAATGGATGGCTATGGCGGTGATCGTCGTGATAGGGATTTTACAACGCAACCAGCTGTTGACGTTATGGCGTCGCCTGCCTGTCACCCTGGCGGGAAGGGCGGCCACCGCAGGGCAGATGGTTTTATCCAAGCAGAGCTAATGTTAGCTTTTTATGGCACCATGTAGGTCCGTGCGGGGCGGATACATTAGACGGGCACACAGCACTGACACTTTGGGGAGTTGGAGCCCTCGTTGATGGAAACACGATCACACAACTGATGTACTTGTGCGTTGCTCTATCACTGCACTTAGCAATGAAGAAACCTTCTGCCTTTTGAGCCATTGGTCGATGACAAAACCGTTTCCGACAAATTTCCCCTTGTTTTGGCCGTTTCCGTCCCTGCCACCATACAGCAGCACCCATTGGCCCTGATGTTGCACCTGGGTAACTGGTGGCGATTGCTCACGGCAACTTACACTGCACGACATCTGACGTTACATCACATGTCTCCCCACAGTCTAACTCACCTGATATGATGCACCCAGCACTCCGAATATGGCAAACACCAGGCAGACAGTTGTGTATGTGGATGACCGAAAGTATGGCGCCAGCTGCTTGGCGGGTTCCAGGCTGTCATTGCGTATGGCGCAACAGAATGAGTCCAGAGTGGGTGAGGCCATCACACTGCTGGAACAATGAATGGGTTGTAAGTGTCTCATATTCTCCAATATATGTCATTGCTATCAGAATAGCATCATCACATAACATGACAGCATTCAGCAGCCAAAGGATTTACAAATTCTGAAACCCCTTTTCATATTCTAAAAAAAATGGGTGCAATGAAAGTGTGAGATATGGCACCTGGGGATGTGTGACTTAAAAATAGGGCATTCATCACAGAGAGAAAGTGGGGACTGTTCACATTTATAAGGAGATTAAGGGCTACATTAATAGAATGCTTTCCTGAGGGGGCCATTGCTAGACAAATATCTGACCCTGACTTCAGCCTGCGCATTTTCATTTTCTACAAAAGCTGGTGCCACATCATATCTAGCAGTGCTTTGGCTCAGCTAGCACAACCAATGGCTAATTTATGATTATTTTACTTTTGGGAGTTCACAAATATTACTTTTGTCCAGCCATTTTTAGGTGTCATTATCATGTATGCAACAATATTTCACAGGATTGCTGGCCAAAAAACAACACTTGCTTCAGGTCCAAGTGCAGCACACAATGGAAGGTATTGGCCACAGGAGACAGAAATGGCACCAATATCAGTCAAGTAACAAACCCAAGTGCTCTTCAGATTAGCTCAAACACACCAAGTACAATGTGAGGTTCAAAAGAGCCAAGGAGACATCAGCTACTAATGTTTGACATTGCTCCTTGAGAGGCAATGGGTTATGCCACTAACTACACTTTTCTAGGCCATCAATGCAGGTTACAAATTATGCAAAGCCAAATCATGCATAACTGTAGAGACATGCTTATTACAAAACATGTATTAAGTAATGGTATGCATAATGTTATGACATATCTTCCTCTCATAGTACTCTAATAATGCATTTTCATGGTTAAATGCCTGCAGAATAAAGCTTTCCAAGTTTAAAGATCTATGCCTCTCTATTTGTGCATTAAGCATGTGGTCAAAAATGACGACATGCTTGTGTGCAATATATACCCTTGGGTGCTTTTCATTATATCATAATACATTTATCACATCATTTTATTATAAGATGTATCTTGACAGGTCTAAGTTATTCTGCACTTATCATTTCTTAGAGGGTATCTCACCCAAGCCTGTTTTAAATCTGATCCATTGTGATAATTTTTGACAAATTTTGGTGTACAAATATGTACCTAAGAGTATTGGAACTAGGGACAGGGGTGGGCACTTACCTTCCATACTGTAAAAAATCAGGATATCCCCTACTGGCATAAACCAGAAATAAATAGAACATGTATTACCTGCTCTCTCATCTCCACAAGCTGGGGCACTTCCTGCTGCCCCTATAAACAACTTAAGATATACATGCACACATAACTATAGCCCAGCAATAGGTGCAGTCAAGTCATTTTAATGAAAAATATGGATAGAAAAACAGACCATATGAACCTAGTGCAAAACTTCACATCTCAGAATCAAAAGTGCTGCTCCACTTCCAGAAGTAACATAGAAGTTTGTCACAGTTAGCTCCAATTTGCATCTTCAAAAATGATTCACTGTTCTAAACTAGCTTCTTTCAGAAACTTGCCCAGTTTTGACAAGAGCTAGCCATGTACAAAAATAACTTTGTAAACAAAAGAACAAAAATGGGACTGAACAGTGATATTAGGAGATGATAGGGGTGAAGCATAATCGTGGCTTTGTGGAAGGTCATGTGAATTCATTTAATCATACTTCAGCGCTAACTAATTCCAGGCACAAGTCAATACGTTCTTCTGCGTAACACATCATTAGGAAAACCAATAGTTTTAGCTTTTGCTTATTCCGATACCGTATATAGAACCGGACCAAGTAAAAACACATAATGGCATGCTGATAATAACGTGGTGGTGACAATGATCCTACTTCATGCAACGACTAAGCCAACACGCAATAAACGGACCACCTGCCGAATCTGCCCGCCCCTACCGCCCGAGAACCCCAAACGCAAGATTGCTTACTTCAAGCTGATGCTCAATGGCCTGTGACCTGCGACTGGACTGGCTGCGTCAACCTGCAGTTAAAATGACGTCATCAAATTGCTTCACGCTGAGCATTTACGACTTTGCGAGACTATGATGGGAATCCGCAAGCGTAGATACGCGATGAAAATTGAACTATTTCCATTCTTTGCCGGTAAAGGTACCTGAAACATGCAAACAAAAAAAGAATACCCTAGAAAAGGTACTCACGCATTTGGCCAGCGTAGTCATAGATAGTCATGAAACACCTGCCTGGTTATAATATTCTCACCACTCATGACATTATTAGCAATAACATCATCATAACTGAAGCGTGGCATAGCCATGCAAACAGTACGATATAACATACTTTGAATGACATTTAATTGTTTGCTTTATGTCTTCTGATGCATAACATGCACAGCTTTGCACTGTGTCTTTAGTCCCGTATGTATGATGGTAGCTTCAATATTTAATCTTGTAGGCTCCAACAAGTAAGAATAACTCGTGTCCTAAATCCTAAGCGTAGATTTCACGGATGTTATCAAAAAGGCTTAATCAGCTGACCGCAATATAACCGTATAATCAGCTGACCAATAAATCAACAACGCGCCACATATGTGCGTCAGATTCTTGAATGTGGAGGCGGCACCCGTCCACACGCGTGTTTTGCGCGTTGCTTCGGGGTTTTACGCGCGCGTGTGCGGGGGCGCAGTGTGCAGGTGTTACTCGCGTCGGATAGACAAGAAAATTAGGTTCGTAAATACTTAACATGATGTCGGGGCCAGGAAATGGAGAGCTGTACCTCCTGTAAGCGGGAAATTTACATAGGCCCTGCGGTGCGGGACATTGTCAGAAGGAATGCAAGAGAGATTCTGAGCATTGAAGAGTTCACGCCACCTTCGCTACCAATTCCAACACATGAAATGTGTACATTTGAAGGGATTTTGAATTTTCAGTGTTTGATTTTGGTTCAAATGTTCCCAAAATATTGTTGAGGAAAATACCCTGATAGTTCAGGACCACTTGGCCTGATCTAAGTTTGTCACACAATTGTTAAACAGACATGTTATATGTATGTTTGGTGCAAGTAATACTTCTTGCAGACAGGCATTTGGGGAGTCATTTTTGCAGTAATTCCTATCCAAGCAATATGTCTTATCCTCCCTTAAAGTAAATGATTGGTTCAGCAAGATATAGGATATTGCCATTTTACTATCCAGCCATAATCCTGGTATATTTTGCTATATAATTAGCTTAAATGTTTTATTTTTAGATTTACAGAATCAGCTCATGCATTAAATGGTGCTGGTGGCAAAGGCCTTGATCCCATCATCCAGTCATGAACTTCCAGGTCCATCAGAATTTTGCTTTAAAAGCTCAATATGGTCCAATGCTCACCATGGTCCACCTTGCCTCCAACTCCACCTGATCTTTATTGCAGCCCTGCCACTGGCCTCATGTCTTCCCACTCAGGGCCAAGTGGTGAATACCCAGTGACTGGAATCCACCATACCACTGGTGTGGATCAGAAGGCAGGTGTTGTAACCAAGCAAACTAACCAGCTGATAGGTGGAGGATGCTGAGAGTCAAAAACAGCTGCACTACACATAAAACCTAAAGCATGCAGATGCATTTCTTTTTGAATAACAAATGTTGCAGGCAGGTCTGTGAATGTGCCACTGAATTGGGGAAGTTTCAGAATTAGACAGGTGTATAAGTGGATAGCATAAAACAACATATCTTGAGCCAGGAGCTAGCACACCAGCACACCAGCCACAGACCGTCATAGTCCAGGGCAAGTAGTGAGTGCATAAGGCAACTCAAACCACCAACCACAGTTAGGGGATTGGAAGGGGGATGTTCAAACCAACAGAGCTATGGGTACAGACTGAGGGGTTTTTCTGTTGACAGGAAGCTATGACTTGGTGTAGGTGGGATGTGTTGAACAATTATGCATTTTGCCTATTAACTTGTTTGTCTGTTTACCTGGTGGGCATCTTTTTAGATAGGTGGGTGGTATTAAATGTAAAGCTTTGCATAGTACAAAAAGATGGTGGGATTCTGTGCATACATCATTTGATGGTGCACACTGGTAACAGTGATATAGACAAAAATATAGATGAATTGTATCAATAATCCTCCTTATCATGCTGCCATGCACATAACATACATCGGACACAGAGGCAAAAGCACAGACATTAAACATGGTGGTAAAAACAGTGCAACTGGTTCAACCAGACCACAGGTAAGCGACCAAGCAGCTCTTAAAGACCGAAGCGCTCACAGTAAATGACAGCCAAACGTCTGATGACAGCTAATGCCACATGGGCGTCCCTCAGGGGAAAAAAGGTCGCGGCGAGAACTCGGTGGCACTCACCGTAGCTGTAGCATGCCGACAGACATAGCCCAAGTGGCATGCGATGACACCGAGATATGACCGGTCACCCGTTTACGCAATGCCTCGGATGCAGGTGTGTTTGACAATGTAGAGCATGGTCATCATATCCTGTTTGGTGATCATATAAGATATTTTAGGTCAGCTCAACACGAGCAGTGCAGTTGACACAGATCGGGATGATTTAGGGGAAGGCAATGCAGGCACCTAAGTTTAGTGCTTTTTAAAACCCCCTGTTTCTGTGCAGCCGGGCAGAACCCCCTCCCCTCCCGCAGAGAGTCGAGCAGTATTGAGTGTGGGGAAGCGTCAGTGCCTCCATCATCCTCTTAGTCTCTCCCGGTATGCGATGTCTCATCCGGGCAAGTGACATCAGAATACCGTAGCAACGACGCATGATGATGGAGATGTGATTTCCCCAGCTGATGGTAGAGTCAGTTGTAACATCCGTGATCTGGACGTATTGGAAAGGTTTCATTGAACCATAGCGAAATTTTACCGTTAGGTGTGGGTCGGCGTGAAGCCTGAGAGACCTGATCATAATCATTTCTGGTTTGGAATGGCTTATTTGTAGAGTTTTGATAAAACCACTCCAGTGGCGCTGTCAAGTTTTTCAACGCGAGTTGTGAGATTGAAAGTGTTAGCGAGTAGATCAGTGTCAAGAAACTGGGTGTAATCATACATGATGCCTTTAACGTGTGGAATATGTTGTGTGAGGTCATTTGTGAAGACAAACTTGTCATCTTATTTTTTGGTGGTCTTCACAAAACTTTTTGTGAAGATTATATTTTTATGACTGTTTTAGTTAACTCCTATGCAGTCTGTCAAATGTCACTGTTGAATGGATATTTTGTTCAACAAACTCACTGGGGCATTTGGTTAAGATGTGTGACCATGCAGATGAGAGGCCACAGTTCAAGCTTGACTTCAGTGCACTCTTCCTCGACTGCCTCTTACCCAGGAGATGGCAGCAGCTGGGGAATGATCGCCCTGCCGCGGAATTAACGTTGTACCAACGTGTGCACGTGACGGGGGGTCCACGGCCATGACCTGCTTTTAAAGCCTTCCGTCCAGGGTCAGCCTCGGAGGAAACGGCTCACTTGATGTCACCAGAGCAGTCCTCCGAATCACCGGATCCGAGGAATAGCTCTTGTGTGTGCACAAGTGTCTCCTGAAGAGCCTGAGAGCAGATGTGTGGTCAAGACTGTTTTGCAAGAGTGACAAAAAGTTGAAACCTCCGCTGTCTACAGAGTGTTGTATGCAGGTGTGCCACTGACCTTTGGTTCTGTGCGTGTAACATGGAGGTGCCTGATGGAGGCATTTATGTTGCTGATGATTTTCCTGCTGATGCAGAATGTAAAAATCTGACATATTCTCTTCATCCACGTCACAACTTGGTTTTCCAGACCCAGTGCATGCTTCATCTTTACAGGGTGAACCTACAAAACTCAATCATAATGTCTAAAAGGTCTCACGATGAGTCTGAAGGATTGGATTCAGTTGTGGAACAGCCTATAAAAAAGCATACTCTGGATTCTGATGAAGAAGATGAAGCTGACAGCAAGAAGTACAATCTGATGGACCCGGAGGAGATTGAAGGTGAGAAAATAAAAAGTGTTTGAGGCAAGTGTGAAAGAATGTAAGCAAGCTGAGATTAAAAACTTTGCTTTTGGAAGGAAACAACATGTACAATAGAAGCAGCAGTGTTTCACGGAGTTATTTATTTTCCATTTGATTTGTTTTGCCATTCTCACCTACCTGTGGTTTAGTTGTTCAGGTGTATTCATTCATTGCTGTGTTTCTGATGACAGCAAAAAAAAAAAACAAATCACAATGTTGTCTTTACCGTGTTAGTCTCACATTAGGCGCCAGTTTGGCGCACATTTTGAGCAGCAAGATCGAGTAATTAGGGATATGGCGAAAGGAGTTGTCTATTGCCTGTGATGTAGCAGTGATGTGCATATTTTAGACATTTGTGGGAGAATTGCTCATCCATTTTGCTGTTTATAATAGTTGAATATCTATGGCATGCAAGCTGTGACAGTGATGCTCTATGTTCAGTGATATTCTTTGTGACAGTGATGCTCAGCTCCATGTTTGCATTGTTTCTGAATTTTAGGGGAAGAAGATGCCACAATGACAAAAGATGGTGACATACAGATTACACCTTTTAACATGAAGGAGGAAATGACAGAGGGTCATTTTGATGCTGAAGGCAATTACTTTTGGAAGAAGGAAGTTGAAATTCGTGATGCCTGGCTTGACAACATTGATGATGCCCAGGTAAGGTCATAGGTATGCTATGTACTTAAAATGCTAGCCTAACTAATCCTAGCCTAACACAGTCACGGTTGTCATTGTGAGCTGTGATGGTGCTAGATCCAAAATGTACATCACCAAAGAGAATCATGCCCTGGCAGCCCTTGTGAAAAGGGCTTGCCATTAATTTTCTCCGTGCACACGGGACCATATCAGAAAAACGGGTTGGGCAGTTAGCTAGCTAACTGGTCTTCAAAAGCAAATATCTTTTTTGATGAACATAATTGAAACACTATATTTAATTAACACTGCACCACACCAGTCTAGCCCGATGCACACCATAGTAAGCGTCATCCTTGACCAGTTAAAAAATGTTCTGCCTCTATATTCCTTCTGTTCGGCATGCCCTTTAGGTGGACCGTTAATGGCTCAAGTGCAACTTCGTGCCATCCTGCGGAAGGACAGGAGCAAGGTCCAGATACCCCACCAAAGTTTAAAAATCTGTTTCTATTCTGGTCCCATGGTGAGCGGGCTGGCGCGGCCAACCACCGAGGCCCTCCCGTTCCCCTCACGCCCTCGTGGCGATGCTTCGGGCAGGGCTGCGCCCCTCGACACTCCCCATCTTCGGCTTCCACTTCAGTAACGGCTTTTGCTGAGCGCGGTGCCAGCGCCGCGCTTCGGGCGAAGCCGCCGCTGTCCGTCGCCTCCCCCTGGGCCGTTCTTCGGACGGCCCAGGCCTCGCCGGTTCGGCGGCGGGTGCTCCGGCGGGCGGGTGCATCGAGGCGGCCCTCGGCGGTTGGCGGCAGTGACGTCAGGCGCGCACGCCGCGTCGCTCGATAAACACCTGGCGGTGCGGCGAGCGGCCGTCCTCCGCCGACCGCATCGCGGGCCACCCGGTGCCGCCTGACGCTCGAAATAGGCGCCGCTCTCTGAGCGGACAGCGACCGCAGGACGAACGGCGGCGGGAGGTGGGGACCGCCAGGACGCAGACACGCGGAGGCCAGCATGTGGCCGACACTGGCGCAGGCTCAGCAGACCTGTAGTCGCGGGTGGCGAAGCACACGAAGCTGAGGGGGCGCCATCGTCGTGTTCGCGTCGAGGCAGTGGTGGTGGGGTTCGTCAGAACTGTACACTCGTCCAGCGGTCGTCCTCACAGTTCCGCGCATGCCTTTTTTAAGCCTGCATTCCACATTAAATGACATTCAGCACCCGGGTCTAAACAATTCGCGGTGAATTCTGCATCCGTGTCTGGTGCTGACGTTGTGTGTTCCGCTTCGTTTCAGCAATACCACGATGAAGAGCAAAAGGATGGGTCCGACGATGAGTCCTCCGACGATCAGGGGGACGCCTTGAAGGACTCGGACAAGGCTGCCATCTATGAGCAAATGCTCGAGCTGATGGAGCCCAACGAATCTGTGGCCAAGGCGCTGCGGCGGCTGGGTAAGCATTGTACGACGGTCGGCATGGACCGCGTCACATTTCCACGGCAAGCTCGGAGTGCCGATCTTTTGAGCTGTTGCGTCTTAAATTTGGCGACCCCTTCCCGCCCTTGCTTGAACTTGTATCACCTGGAGCCGTTGGGGGCGCCTTGGTAACCCCCGGATCGAATAAAATGTGATTATTGTCAAAGTGCCCATAGATATGAGGTTTCGCATCGGCCTTCATGTGCGTTTGGGGAGGGCGATTTTTCTTGTATCTGTGGATCTCACGATGAAAGCGTAAATAACTATCGCGTCTGCCTAATCAGTAGTTGTGCTGTCCTAGTCGTTATGGGCACACTGTCACGAAGTTGCTGGTTTAAATGATGGACGGCAGTGTTGTCAGGATTCTATGAACCAGTGATCTTACTGACGTGGGGATATGGAGGCAGAATTATATGTGCACAGTGATCTAGCTGACGTGGATATATGGAGATCGTATCCGTACCGTTTTCCGTGGTCCCTGCTTTAGCTATCGCACAGAAACCGCCCAAACTAAACGGTTAACGTTGGGAGTGAGTTTCACTGCCCAATAGTGGATTTAGTTTCAGCACCGAACGCGGTTCGTTGAAAGCGTTGGGACCGTGCATTGGTGATATGCATACTACGCTGAAGCTAGGCTGCACCTGTGATTATCGACAAGCAGTTACTTTCAAAATGTGTTGGTGGTGCATGACCACGTTATGGTCATTGCTGACGTGTCTCATTCGTCCGGTTATGCTGCAAGTCAGTGTTCAAATTTAATCATTATCATATCAGCCAGCATTATTTTGCAAGTCAGTCAGTATTTACTATCAGTCTTTTTTCCGCATTTTATCGCATCCTCATCCCCACGCAACACAAGGTGTCATTTGAAATAACGTGTGTATTGGCTGCGACAAAGGCGGTTGAGCTTCACACGCTCCCTTGGCCGTCGGTGAGGCCCTAGTCGAATGGCCTCCGCCCATGTGTTCGGCTGTAAGGACCGGCCGGCCGGCGCAAAACTGATCTTCCTCTGCCGAGCCTGGTCGTTCGACAGTGATCACAGGAAACATGTCGCCGACTGGACCTGGCGGAGAACGGTCAACACATGTCGTTGGAGCCGAGCGACCAAAGCGTCAAATTCAATTAGAGCGCGTGTGAGATGATCAGGGATGAGTGTCGCTGGTTCCGGGTTTTCATTGCAATCAGCACACCGTTGCTCTTCATTGACGATATGACCCAACCTAAACCACTTGCGGCGGGGCTCAGAGCGAAACGTCGCTGTGCGGGTCACACGTGTCTACAGCAGCGCGTCTTTGCTGCGACACTCCCGTGAGGCTCTGCGTAACCGTCTCAAACCGCCCACCTCGGTACCAGGTGGCAACAAGGCGCGCCACTCGGCGGCGGCACGCTGGCGGCAGAAGCGGGCCGCGGCGGCGGGGGCGGCCGAGCCGGCGGACGCGGCGGCCGGACGCGAGCGGATGGATCGACTGACCGGCCTGGCCGACCGGCTGCTCAGCGCCGGCCACATGGAGGTGTACCAGATGACCCGGGAGGCGGCCGCCCACCAGGTCAGCACGGCTGCGCACGTGGGCCGCGTTGGAAGGCTCTCCCTGCTTGCTGTACGGCGGGCCGCGATGGAGTTTGCTGGAGTTCGATGGGCTCACCGGTTGGTGCTTAAGTACATGCTGTCCGATGCGCTGAACTGGTGAGCTTCGAAACAGCCACAGGTTGGGATTTAACACTCTTCTCTTAATCCCCAAAGCTTGTGTACTGACGCTTCATTGTTTTATTATTTTTGTTTTACTCACCGCCTGGCATTTTCAGTGTGGACTGCCGTCAGTTTTCCAACGCCTGACCTAGCTCCATGACCCGTGATCTCGTGGTGACGTGTGCGGGCCTCTGACCGACGGTGCACGCCGTTCCAGCTGGAGCAGCTGCGCCGGCCGGTCGCCGACCGGCTGCAGGGCGCCACCGAGGATGACGCTCTCGACATGTTCGGCGACTCGCTGGACCAGCAGCCGGCCGCGCCGGCGGCAGCGGCCGGCGAGCCCACGCCGGACACCGGCGGCGCTGGCCCGCCGCCCGCCACCGACAACGGTAAAACGGCGCCCGACAACTCCGCAGATCAAGGTATTATGGACGGGACAGCGTACGCCAAATGGACTGGCGTCACTGGTGACCTCTGTCTTCTGCACTGTTGTTCGTCTGGTCGTTTCTGCACCGGCACGTCAGTTTGCTTCCCATTGGGAAGGCGTTTGCCAAATATCGTCAGGCCTTGTTGTGCGGACATTCGTGTTGACTTCTGGTAGCCCTCAGCTTTGAGACCTTCTTAATTTGCTGCTCGCCTATACATTCCAGCGTTCCGCGCTAGACTGTGCGCTTGAGTGAGTGCATTGTTTCGACGCCAATCTTCTCGGCCGTCGAGTTCCATCGGCCTCGGCTCATAATGTTCTTTGTGGGGGAAGGGGATACCCGGGAACGTTACTTGGCCTTTGTCGCACACTTGCACGCGATGCTTGTGATAGCCCCTTACGTGGCTCGCGCTGACGCCAGCCGTGACGCGACCTGCAGAGGCCGGCGATGCGGTCACTTGGGAGTTCAAGTGGGAGGCGTCTGAGGACGCCGAGGTGCACGGACCGCACACGTCGGCCGAGATGAACGCCTGGAGCGAGAGCGGCTACTTCAGCGACGCGGTCCTGGTGCGCAAGACGGGTACCGCTGCCTTCTACCAGGCCAAGCGGGTCGACTTCGACCTTTACATCTAGGCGCTGACGGCTGGCGCGGTGCGGCTTCCCGATCCCATCCTGCTGCGGCAGGCGCACGCCTCCGAATGTGTGCTGTACGCACAGTTTGACTTGCGGAGCGTGCGGCACCACGGGCGCCATCTTAGCTCGGCCGGACAGGAACCCACGGGTGGAGCGGCGTTGCCAGCCTGATTCCGGGCAGACGTACCCGCAGCCATGTGTCTCGCAGCCAGCTAGGCAGGGAGACCATCGTCTCCGTGGCGGGCCCCGTACGCTGTCTTGTGCTGCCCCAAACCGCGTAGCTTGGTGTCAAGTGTTAGTCCTGGCCGGCGATGGCGCGTGGGCGGCAGCAGCGGGCCGAGCCAGCGGCTGGGCCGTGGCGGTAAGATGTGCTCGTTGCAGTGTTTTCGTTTTGTAACGATGCGGACTGTTGGAACAGAAGCGTGTTGGTCGTGAAATGGTACCACCAGCTAGGATTTGGATTCTGTGTATGACCTTTGAAATCTCACGCACACACTGCTTGTTTACCGCGTCACCTTTGTTCTGGTGACACAATCCAAATTATGATAATAAGAGCAAACGTCGTGTGGTCGTTATATATCAGCAGATGTGCTGATGATGCGGTGATGTTATCGCACAATTCATTGACTGAAAAACCTGAACAACTGCTGAAGTGACTTAAAATATGAGACCTGACTTTGTTCTTAAGTCAGGACAACATGGCAGATAGCATGGAGCGACGTGACATGCGCAAGGATTCGTGACAATACATGAAATATTTCCACGGCCGGCCTTTCCCTGCTGGAAAGGCCATCTAATTGTGATAAAGGAGGTCTGCGGGGCGTTTGACTCAAACATCCTTGTCACAGGCTTTCTGGATTATAATTTATAGTAATGAGTGACGCGATTGTAGCGTTCCTTAAAAAGATGCGCCCCTTGAAAGCCAATTTTTTTCGTTGAAGTGCGCGGGAAGTTGAAGCAACCGGCGCGTACGATATTATTCTTTTGTCAGGTCACTGTGTCCCACAGTAAAGAATTAAACGCAGTTGCTATGCGCGCGCTAGCAAACTGTTTTGAGCTGATTGTGGGGGACGTTGCGACGCGTCCCTGTGTCCATTTTCTCATCTTAGTAAGTTTTCTCTTCTAAGTTTTACTAACAGCCGCCGTTCTGGGAATCAAGTAAGGCTAGAAACGCTCCGTAGCATCGTTTAATATAATCCCATGATTTAATGTGACCCTTGTGGTAGACAAAGGCCACTTTGAGAGCTGCGAATATGTAAACGCCTCTGCAGCGTTGCCGCGAAAGACCTGCTGAAGAAAAAGTAAAAATATTCGCAGTCCTTCCGTTGTTCTGTGTCGACTAGGCGTGAAAGAATGATGGTTGATTATCCTGGCCATGTTCCTGATGGCGTTTTCTAGACAACGAATTTGAAAAACGGTCTTGACAAGTATGCTTATTTTGACATGAAATATTTGCATTTGAGTATGTATAAGTATGTACATTTCATCATTTAGGGAAAGTGTTCCACATTTTACTGGGTTTTGAATTGAAATAGCCATCTTGAAGGTCATCCGATGCAGTTCACAGCCCGGCCCTTCTGAAGACCAAAACCCTACTACCTTCTAAGATACACGACCTCGAAGACGTGCAGACTTTTTCGGGGAGACTATTTCAACATCACCCAGGCATCCATGACGTCATAATAACGCCATTCAAAGCCTGCCATTTCGTTGACCATGCGCCGATGGAGACCAACAAGTGTATGATTGTTGAATCGTTCACATTTGGTATTCGGTATGAACGATTTGACACGTTGAGGACACATTTGTAGTGCGATTTCCAAATATAGTGGCCTACAAATCGTTCTCGATGTTGTTCAAGGCACTATGACGTATCCAAGTAATGACGTATTGAGGAGCATATTTACCAAATGGAGAGATGGTGTCGTCTGGAGCAGAATTTTCCACTTAAAAGTATACTAACAATTAAAAGCTAGATTATTCCATCATACCTGATGGTGGCTTTCATGTCTTTAATTACAGAACATTCTTTTTTATACCGAAATTAATCTTGTAGGAGTTTTTTTACTGACCAATGAGACAAACTTAAAAAATACATTTCCAACGCACACGTTGCCAAATCGGTCATGTGGGAAAAAGGACGCATTGGTGTCTGAGCGAACGGTGCGGGCAGGGCGCAGTGTGCGGGTGTCGCTTTTCTCAGCTCGTGGGTGTCGTGCAGGACAGGTGCGGCTAGTCTCTGACCTAGGTGCTCCTAGCGTGCATTGCGTTTTGTTAACCTACATCGTATAGCATTTGTGGCACATCATACTTTGGAGAAAGCTTTGTTAGTGTCCCTAAAGGTCTCAGAGAACTACACCGCAAGACAGCCATGGGTAAGGCGAAACAAAAACAGCAAGCTCGGCAGAAGTTCGCAGTCATGAAGAAAATGATAACTCAGTATGATTCAAGAATTAAAGAAAAAGATCGGACGAAGAGGAAGATGAAGCTGGACCTGTCAAAACCGAAAATTAATAAGGCCCCACAGACGTCGACAGCGCTCTTCTTCGAGTACAACACTCAGCTTGGTCCTCCATACCATGTGCTTCTAGACACTAACTTCATCAACTTTTCAATCAAGAACAAGATTGACATTGTGCAGGGCATGATGGACTGCATGTATGCCAAGTGTGTCCCATATCTGACAGATTGTGTTCTGGCTGAGTTGGAAAAGCTTGGGCAGAAGTACCGCCTGGCAATGAAAATTGTGAAAGATCCACGCATAGAGCGGCTCCCGTGCATCCACAAGGGTACCTATGCTGATGACTGTTTGGTGAATCGTGTGACACAGCATAAGTGCTATGTAGTGGCAACTTGTGACAAGGACTTGAAAAGGAGGTTGAGGAAGATTCCAGGAGTGCCAATCATGTTCATTTCCCAGCACAGGTATACAGTTGAGCAAATGCCTGATGCGTATGGTGCTCCCAAGTAGTGTCTTGGGGATGATGAGCACAGTTAAGCTGGACAAGTACTACCAGTGTTGGTTTCATATGTGTTTATGCATTATGCATCACGGCAGTATATGAAATCTGGTGGTGTGAATTCATTGCCAGACTACTGACTGTCAACCAAAGTGCACAGATGTCCTTTGGCAGTAAATATACCATGGAAGTGGCTTTGTTCTGTTTCTTTAAAAATCTGCCATCCGTTGACAAAGTTCTGTGATGATACTTTCCAGGGATGCCTAACCAGCATATTTATACACACTTCTGTGCTTGTGCATTATGGAGTAACATGAGTATGAGGGATAGTTCAACCAGCATATAATATGCTCTTACTAATGCACCCACACTTTTATGGAGAGGTACTTTATGTCTGTCCTACATCAAACAAATTGTCAATTTGAGTGTTTTGCCACAGGTTTAGTTCAGTGCCCTGTCCCTGGAAACCAGGTCATGCCTTTAATGAAGCATCGCAGGATGATACCAATGATTCAAAATGTCTGTGTCATTAAGTTACAGGGCATGTGCAGCAATGTCATCCTTGTACTATACTGTTTTTTTAATGATCTTGACCACAAGGGGGGCAGAAAAGTGGGAGCAGCTGCTCCTCCTACATCACACAAGACAAAACTGGCACTGAAATGTAAAAAGGTCTAAGCATAATTTTTCAGAACCAGGATTATGTATATCATTCAATGTGGCACAAAGAACTGTGTCTTGCAAAGTCAAGTCAAAAATTTGTATTATAAATGCATCCATAATTTTTCCCCAGCACTTTTTCTGTTGGATTTACTGAAAGCAAAAGTGCCTCTCATCATTAAACTGAACACCATCAGTCTCCAGCACAAATCAAATTATCTGGGCCATGACAGGCTTCAGAATATACATCACACTTAAATGCACTCATCATGTTTTTATATTTACAAACACAAAATGATATCGCTAATCCACGAGACCGATGCAGCCGCCGCGGCAGGCGGTTCTTGCTTGCCAGCCCCTGCGGTCGTCCCGATGAACCCCTCCGGGCCGGCTGAGCGGCGCGGTCAGCTGCCCGAGGGGCGCTGCTCCTCGAACAGGTCGGCCACGCGGAGCGCCGGTGCCGCCGGCGGCGGCGGGGCCTGGCTCTCGCCACCCGCGGAGCGCCCCAGTTTCACACCCTCCGCCCGCAACGCGTCCGCCGCCGCCTCGAACAGCTCGTCCTCGGACGAGGCGGGCGCGGCGCGGCGCAGCGCGTCGCACCGCTCCACGAACTCGTCGCAGACGCTCGCCGGCTGGCCGTCCGGCGAGCCGCGCAGACGCAGCACGCCCGGCGAGCCGAACTCGCGCTGGAACCGGCTGCAACACAGAGGGCCCCGGCTCGTCCGTGAGGCGGCCCACTGCTGTGTCATGCCCGGCACTCATCACAGGCGCACACAAGCGACTCGGCAGCGGAACATTCGTGCCACTAGCAAACCCGCTACCCGCCAGTGGCTCCCCGAAGGTTTAGCTGCGATGAGCGAAATCAAGGGCAACTAGGCACTCTGGATCAGTGACGCTGACGATTTTTATCACAGAGCGAGACATGCCAATGCGACAAAGCCATGGAGTGGGGTTTTATGTCACAGTCTGGCTATGGGTGGGTCCAGCACCGAGTCTTGGGTGGAAGGTGGTGTGCGCTCGGATGGGCCCAGATTCGCTGCCAACTGTAATCAAATATGCCAAGAGTAGTGTCAGTCAGGCGTTTTCTGGCATCATGGAAAGCGCGATGTCCTCGCCCCCACCACCTTGGTCCATGCTGGAGTTTGCCAACTCCAAACGGAAAAGACGTTTCCTTACGCTCGTACGGCGTCTTCCTGGTAGAAAATCGGCCTGACTGGTACGGCCTTGACAGGCCGGTCGAACCGCGGCTCCAGACGGGGAGGGAACGCCTCGTAGACGTCATACCAAAGCGGCCGATCGTCCCTGTGCATCGAGCCTGACCGAATCAAGCCTGATACCCTGCAATGCCACCGCAGACAGACAAGGTTACGTCGGTACTCGCGGAGTATGGTTGTAGGAAGTGGAACAGGATGCCCTCAGATGCAATGAGGCTCTTAAGTGTATCACATGATGTGTGGCACAGCAGTGTGACATCATTGCAGGTGGGGCTGCAGGTCGAGTAGGGCTAATTGCCAGAAATTTTGCAGTCTCAGTGGCCAGTCCTTGTCACCTGCACTTTTGACAGGCCTATGTGTTTCAAGCCACTGATTGCATCAGCATGATGGTTTCAGCAACAAGTAGTAGTGAACAGGAAAAAAAGATCACACTGCATGACCTTAAAATGTTGTTATGCGAGCACTGTTCCCCTATGAACATTCAAGTAACACAGGGAACACAAAATTGGAAAATTGCAACAACAAAAAACTGAAAAGTGAATGCCTGAAATGCATTCAAAACTTAGTCACCAGTCCACTAACCAAGGAGAAAGCAGCCAATATTATCAACAACATTGTAAAGTGTGTGTGTGTAGATTATCACCGGAGGTCAAGCTATAAACCATGGCTTCTCTGGTGTCACCCATGTTTGCCAGAAATTAAAGAAATCATTATACATCTTAAATCATTCATGTGGTGATGACAATACCATCTATTACTGGCTTAACATGCACCATGAGATGTCTTACTAGTCACATTACCTCGTAAAGATGGTTCCAATTTTTTCCAGTCGGGTTTGAGCCATGGTGATCTTGTGTTTGTGGATGTTTCTCGAACACACCACTGGTGTGAAGTCTCCTAGCTGGGGTCAAGTACACCCTGGAACAGCACATATTACAGTTTCAACTTAACTACATAACATTATGCTTGCACATCATTTGCCAGGGGGGCATAGTTTTGTGAGATGGGATTGAGGCTCATGACAAGGCTGATGAACTGAAGGCTTTGGCCTGAATTTTGCCCACTTTTGTCTCAAAGTGAGGGGAGGGGAGGGAATAGGGCTGCAACCATAGCACAACTACCTAGTGGCTGCAGCCCAATTTATGGTTATGAGCTGAAGCACCATTCAGCAGAACAGGAAACTGCATCCTGCCAGCTGCAATTCATGTAAAACATGTGCAATATTTCCAACTGTTCAAAGCAAAACCTTAGTCCATTGCTGCTATCCTCTCAAAGAACAGCTTTACACACTGGCATGCCATCCTGCCACTGTGCTCACAGATACTGACATCATTTCTTTCAAGAGTCTAACACTTGCTGTGTACCTTTTCCTCACTGCCTATTCAATACAACTGGCCATCTTTTAATTACCTACTGCATGCATACATTAAACCAATGGGTTGAGCATCAATAATCTAGTTTCACACAAGTTTGGTTTCAAGTATGTAACACCCCCTAACCCATGGTCAATGTCACATTTTTGCTAAATCCATGGAGATCACCCTGGTGCTCCATGGCAAAACATGCTCTAAAAGTGGCTTCAACCTCACAACCCATGGGATTTGACATAAGCCATGCTCCAGACTTTAGATATTGAGCTAGCAACCACAATTGGGACACCAAGACTGAGCTACCTAAGCAGCGCTTAAGGCATAATGTTGAATGGCGTAACACCTTAATTAATGGCGTAACACCTGGGCGTAATGTTGAAATTCCGTTTTGACACCTGAATAAAGGTCCCTAAAACATCCTTGTTGACAGGACAACTGTATCACGAGGTAACGCATTTTTGTAGGCAGAATGCATGCAATGAACAAGGATTGGCCTCATGTCCTTTGAACACGTCAACTTACACGTTTTCTGAAGTGTTTACAATTACAATTACCCGAGAAAGATTGCTTACAACCACACAACGTGATCATACGCGGCACCCAACCCGGTCATGCCAATGGGCTACTAAATTATCGCTCCCAAAATCACCAAAAATGAATCAACATAACCAAAATCAGAACTTGTACCAAATTATATAATCACCGCCAAAATGAACACTTCACCACTAATTGGGTCATAGCCATCAATATGGACGTTTTCACCGCCGGTTTAACGAGGTGATTAACCACAACGCCTAATCAAGTCACCAGATACACGAATGAAATATTCGGAGAGAGAGCTTTGCACTAGATTCACTGAGGTTCCAGAGGCTGAGGTCCGAGATGGACAGGCATATGGGGTCCACCAGGGCTGCCTACTTCGTCCCCATGTAGGCATGTTATGGGTAGCTACCTGGGTCACACATAGGCAGCCCTCCTGGGGCCCACGTGAGGCCTTATTGTGACCCACGTGGGGCCCACCCGGATTGCCCAGTTGGGACCTATATAACCAGCCCAGATGGGACCCATCTAACTAGCCCAAATCGGACCTTCTTAACCACCACGGATGGGCCCCAGCTGGGCTTCACCGATCTGCCCTTTTAAATTTCATCTGGTTAATGGACCACCGTTATTCCAGGCAGCCTGCTTTATATAATCAATGATGAGCCAAGTCAAAGTTAATTCACCGTGAATTGTCAGAAATTGCCTAGGTAACAACACCGTTGCACAAAGCGTGCACATTCCTGCACTCATGCTTGATGCGAAAATCACTAAGCTTTCGACGCTAACTATATGCGTTGCCGTTGCTGCCGTTTTTTTTTTAGCACGGTGCTTCTGTAAAATTCTCGCGTTGTCGGGCAGCGCGTTGTGGCAGCCAGTACTGCGAGGCATCAAAATGCACTAGCGGATTCTGTCAATGCATCGTGGTTCACTGGCTCAGCACACGTGTTTCAGCACACCTGCTCCGCCTGCCACACGGTATGGGTGTGCGAGTGTGAGAACAATTCGTCCCGGCGGCCGTCGAACGACCGAAGTGTTTCGACTGGAAGTGAGCAGGGTTGCCCAACACGGCCGCACTGGACGGTCGAACGGCCACCTGGGAGACCGGCGCCACGCGGGTCGGCCAACACGGTCAGCCGGAGTCGGCCGCCGGGAATTACTCACGGTCGTTAATATATTTCTTCCTCGTGCTCCGCACCGCATCCTGCTTTCCTCGCATTCCGCGCAGCCTCCCGACCGTACAGAACCGGCCAGTCATTCTTCCACGTCCCTTCCCCTTCCCCCGCCCTCCCGATCGCCCCGTCCAGGGTGACCTGGTCAGGTCAGGCCAACGATATGCCCGCCGCCGCAACCGGCACCCCGCCGGTGCCGCGACCACCGTCGCCACAACGCCGCCCCGCCGCCGCCGCCAACCCAAAGCCAACACTCAGTAGCGCAGGCGGGGGGGGGGGGGGGGGGAACAGGGGGGCGTGCCCCCTCGGAATCTACGATTAGGGGCCCGAAAACCCAGCCGGAGATCTCATTCAGAGCCAGAGGTATCATCATCCACTGCCAGCCAGACGCCCCTGCGCGCTGATCAGGGACACTCTGAGTCGATGAGGGCGTATTTTTCAGTCAGACACCACCAGCAACACACAATCAGCTCCGTGGTGGCATGGACCCAAGGGCCCATTTCCCAAGCAGGGACAAAGCTGGAGCCAGCGATTTACATTGATAGATTACATTTACATAGGGGCCCACAGCACCCAACAGCGGCCCTGTGTTGCCAAGGGGCCCGACTCGACCAGCAGCAGTGTTCGAGGAAGCCCGAAGAACCTAGAGGGCCTATCGGGCCCGACGATCAAGTGCCCGGTTGGAGGGTCTATGGGCATAAAGGGCTGATCAGAGTCCTATTTGGGCACCCCGACCTGCGAAGACGGACCCTCAAATAACTATCAAAACCCGTTGCGCCGATCGAGGACCCCCTGAATCGACATCAACCTGTGTGTGGGTCAGGTATCACCGTACCACATAGTCGGCTCCGTGTCGGTATGCGTCTGAGGACCCACTGCCCAATCAGCTATAAGGCCCGGGCCAGTAATTCACTCTGGTCGGGGGCTTGTATCTGTCAGGGGCCCACAGTGCCAAACAGAGGGCTCTGTGATTTCAGGGGCCTCGCACCGACCCAGGGAAGTGTTTGATGAGGCCCGAAGAGGGGTCCGGGCGACCAACGGTCATCCGACAAACATTCACGGAGCCGACGATCATAGGCCCGGTTGGAGGGCATAAGGGCCTGGAGGAATGGCTGGAGGTCACATAAAGAATCGTGGATCGTAGGAACCTGACCTCAAATATAAGTCAGAGGTCCTCCTGCGTCATTTGAGGTACCCCTGAGACAATGCGGGTGTCTAAGTCGGTCAGAGCTTAAGAATACGGAACAGTCGGCTCCATGTCCGTCTGAGCTCTTCAGACCATATCCTCAGCAGAAACAGAGCCGGGGTCCGCGATTTGCTACGTTCGGGGCTCCTGATACAATAAGGGGCTCCTGTGTCGATTAGGGGCAACAGTGCCGAACAGGGGTTTGTGGCGGCGAGTGGCCCGGAGTCGAGGTGGTGTTTGAGCGGGCCCGAACAGGGGCCGAAGGGTCTATCAAGACCAAAGATCAAGAGCCGATGAGATGGCTGAAGTGTCCAAAGGGTTTGCTGTTTGTCACGTTAAGGACCCTCGCCCATAGGGCCGTGATCTCAAATGTCAGTAAGAGGATCTCTTGCACCGATAGAGACACCTGAGACAAAGCGTTCCTCTATTTTGACCAGAGATTACGAACAACGAACAGTCGGCTCCATGTTGGTCTCAGCTCTGGGGGCTCATTTCCCAAGCAGCGACGAGGCCGGACGCGCGATTTACATTGGTCGGGCTCCTGTATCGCCCAGGGGCCCATAATGCCTAATAGGGCATTTCTGTGTCAGCAAATGGCCTCGAATCGGCCAGGGAAAGATTTGCTCAACGGGGACGGGGACGGGAGCCCGAATAGCGAAGGGTATCTTGCATCGGTCGGGACCTTCTGACAATTGAAGGAAACATAAGAACTTATGGTGAGTGCTCACACTGAGGTAATAGAAGCGTCCTGTGCCAGTCAGGGCCCCAAGTACCGAACGGTGGGCCCTCCAACCCTTTTCCAGCATGGGCCCGTTGAGCCCAACTGGAGTTTGTGTGCCAATTATTTGGCCACCTGCGGCGAGCAGGGATGTTGCGCGGTTCATGCGTCGATGACGACGGTTCATGCGTCGATCCAGGGTCGACTGAGCGGGTCAGAAGGCCTCCCGCGTCAGGAGGCGGCCAGGGGATGCCGCTCAGCGTCGCCAGGATGACGACCTGAAAACACACCGCGGTGGGACAGAATGACCGCTCAGTTTTTGACCGAGAAGAACAATGTGCCCGATAGTGTTATACGTAAGGGGGCCCATTTACTGGAAATAAACAAGGGGTCTCCTTAGTGCTGAATGGAGCGGGTCGAACTGAGTTAAATCCGGGCAAACCTATCCTATGTTTCCCTGAGAGCTTTCCTCTTTTTTCAGAATCGACTAGTGAAACGGATGCCATCAAAATGTTTGAGGCTGTGCGTCGGGTAACGATAGTGCAGTGGCAAACGCGCCTGCGCCAACCACTGCGCATCTGGGGAAACCACAGGCACGGGGTTCGATTCGCCCCCCCCCCCCCCGCCCTCCCCCTTCCGGCCAGGGTGAAATGCTGGCGGCGCCATATAACCTCAGGAGCTGAGTGCGTCATAAAGCCCCTGTGTCACGTCCATAATCTTGGGGAGCAAGAGTAGTAATGACTTGGGTCGCAGTTTTCGTAAAACCGAACTGCGTTGGCCACTGCAAGTAACGCCAGGAGGTGGGCGCCGAGCGCGCGACAGTGACCATCGTAAAATAATGTGTCTGGATGTCTTTCACAATCGATTCTTACAGTCCAAAGAGTACACTGGAGAATCTCTTTTTTACAACTTTGAGGCTGTCATCTGGACAGATGAACAGTAACAGCAGCACTGAAAATAGTTATTTTATCTCTATTCTTCCAGTTCCACCACCAGACTCCAGCACCACATCGCGGTACTGCGAAGACCAATACGTTATTGTCAGCAATCTAAAAACCGCACGGGTGAAATATACGCCCGCAATACCTCTCAACGTACGAGTTGGTGTCCAGATGCGTTCAAACGTACTTCTTTCAAATGCGTCACCATTTTCGTCCACCTGTTGGCCACGAATAGATGTTACTCTCAGAGCGGACGCTACGCGACCCAGAGAGACTGCAACACCTGGCGTCGAGTTTTTTGTTTCCAAGACATGCGAGCGCGCATGCTCCAAACAACGTTTCTTAATTTGCGCCACTTATCAGTTCTTACTGAATACTGAAGATATCCAAACATCGCCTGACCATATTAATACAATTATTGACCCATTTTGATCTTCAGCATACATTCGCAGAACCCTTGAACCCTCTGTACTGCCCGGATAAGAATTCTGACGAAGTTTCTGAGTTTTATCGGTTTAAAAAGACTCCACGTACCGCGGGCGCCTTCACGTACCGATCAGAAGGGACGTATGCGTCCAGTGTCTGCTTCCTAGATCAAACCTTTCATGACTTCTTGACTGTTTGGATTAAATACTTTTATAAATCATACAGAGTAAAAACATGCATTTCGTTTCATCAAAATGAAGCAGGCTAAATCCGGTGTGAATAATGGGCGGTAGATTGTTGGGCCTTCGGCTCGGTCCCCTCAATAATTTTGAAAAATTGACACCCCCTGATATGATATCTAGGAAAAACATGCCCTGAATAACAAATGGGCCATATCCAACGAGTTCTGGGGGTCTTTTTACGATCAGGGGCCCTTTGTCAATCCTGTGCCCCCTTGCCAAAGCTCTGGCCGCGCCCCTCCCGACACCGCCGTCACCACGGCAGTCGCCGCCGCCGCCATTCCGCTGGCACGCGCGACGCGGCTGACACCACCGCCGCGGCTGACATTTTAGGGCAATGTTTACCGCACCACCAGCGTAGTGTGGTGCGGTAAACAACAGGGGTATTTAATAGTGGTGAAGGGCGTGGGGCATTAGTCCACTTGTGAAGAAATATGTCTTGTATGCGTATCTTCTGTGTATCTTGTACGCGCATCGCGCAGCTATCTTGTTGGTGTAACTTGGATGTACCTTGTATGGGTACCTAACATGTATTTGGCATATCCACCTATAATCAGAGGTTCTAGCCCTGCTGCCTGGTCGGTGTACTATACCAGGTCTTTAGTCAGTTACCTATATCAGGCGCCATTGGTGATTACTCAGTGTTCTGGTGCTAAATTGACCGTTTCGGATTGCCGACTCAGTTGGTGAGAGAACTGGATATTTTGGTGATATAAGCAGATACTCTGGTAGCTCCATAAATTTTGTCCCTTTTTCAACTCGCTAGAGACTTTTTTCCTAGATAACTCTACTGGCTGTGCTGGCATCTTGCGGTTTTAGAAATCTCCCTAGTTTTGCTGAGGTCTTGGCGAACAGGAGGTACTGTTGCACTGAGCGTCTCGTTTTGGTGGCAAATTCAAGGCGGCGGTGGTTGTAACGATTGTGGTGCTGTGCGTGTGTGTGTACCAAGCGACGACTCAACGCATATTTTGTCTTTGTGGATGATCGAGTAGTTGCCTACGTATCTATTCAAGATAATATCACTTACGTAGAAGCAGAACGGACAGCTTTTTACGTAGAGCATATGCCTCAAAGCCCAAATGAACGGTAGATAGTTGCCGGCGCCAGTATTTTTCTTTTTTAGTCTCTCGATGATCATTGTGCGACGTGTATGGAACTAATTATGCTCATCTGGTGCAAAGTGAACCACGTATGTTGGGGTGATATTTCAAAAAGCCAGTCTAGGCTCAAACACCAAGAAAATTAATCCACTTTTCCAGAACCCCCAAAACATTGCTGCACTGAATTGCATGCTTGAGCATACTGAATTCAGTTCAGGTAAAAATGCACTGAGTGGTTTTGGTGTGGACAGGTTTCTGACGTGTGCCTGTGAAACCTCTGAGATGTTGGTGCACTGAATCTCATGTTTGAATGTGCAAATCTCAGGTCATGTAAAAATGCACTTAGTTTTAATCTAGTTATAGGTGGCAATTTTCAATGCAGTGGTGGGGGCTCCCCAGCTTGGTCTCCAGTTGTGCACACCAAAGTTTGGAAGAACGTGGGCCTTGGAAAAGCCCATTTGTGAACATTTTTGGGGGTACATTTTGCTATTGCTCATTACTCAGCCTCCCAAACATGTGTTTCAAAGCTATATCTCATATTTACAGCAATATTTTTTTGTGTAAGGAGCATGTACTTTGCTTAAAGCACTTTGTATGATGTTTGTATGAGTAGTTAATATAGAGTAGATAATATAGAGTAGAAATAATATAGAGTAATTTGAGTAGCATCAAACAAAGAGCATACATATTATTAATGACAGTATGTCCATGCTGTCATGAAACAATATTGGGATAATCCAGATTGTCCCTAATGAGCATGCAGAAACTAAAGGGACAAAGTTGGTATGTCCAGCATTTTGAGGAAATTTGATGTTGGCCATGTGGGCACTATTGCAATATAATAAGTGGTGGATGCATGTGCAGGTAATCTGAATGGTGTGCTGAATGTCCACTGGTTTTGGTCTGACAGGAGTACAAATATCATTGATAATCAAATGAGCATTACAAATTATGTGTTTGAGAACTGTGACCTTTTTGTCAATCCTTACATGCAAAATGATCATATGAAATGAATATTGACATATCTATATGAACATTTATATATATATATATATATATATATATATATATATATATATATATATATATATACATGCAATGTTCTGCCTGAAGCCTCTTACCTAACCTTAAGTTAATCTACTTAAGTTCCAAACCTAATCAAAGATAGCCTAACTTGCCCAAAGCCTGGGCTTAGATTTAGTTCTAGACCAACATGTACACCTATGCCTAGACCTATTATTATGCTCACACACTTGAACACATGCTTATGTACCCCAACACCTGTATCTACTCCCACAAACATTCCAAACCTAAACCAACATCTGATGTACCTGCTGCTAGTGATTTTTGCTGCAGTGACCATAAAAGTGTACAGCAGAAGCATTGCTCATAACTAAGCAGAATGAATGTGTGTGTGTGTCTTAACCATTTGTCTCCTTTACAGTCTAGCTTACCAGTCTTGTCAACATGAAGGAAGTCAAGGGTCAAAATGAGAATATTTGTGTTGTATCGGAAGGTAGTAAGAAATCAAAACACAAGACAGGAAATGATGTGAAGTTACTGCAAAGACCACCACTTTCATGCAAAACAAATAAATTGGTGAGATTTGGGTTTTAAGAGTTTTTTGAAAGTTAGCCAAAAATACCTTGGCCTAGCTTATGCTGTGTGAGGTATTTCACATCTTTAGTTCTGGTTGGTTGGCAGCTACTAATGCATGTATTTACTTGATGCATTTAGTCTGATCATTTTGATTGGATAAATTTTTAGGATCAGATTGTATGTTAAGTAGTGCTTGCTGTCTAAACCTTGAACCCCAACATCCAGTGATCAAATTCCAGTTCATTGGCAGAATGTTGTGGCAAAGGTTTAATGTTACACAATAATCAGTACTGCCCATCCTTCCCTCTGACCCTATCTGACCGAGCAGTGAGACTGAGGGTCACACTGGGGGACTGAGGGTCGCTGCCACTGGCACGCAGGCCATCCCAGACATGGCCAAAAAGCGAGTGCTGAAGTGACTGGAACCCACCCACACCGCCATGGGTAGGCCGGGAAGCAGGCGCTCTAACTGATGGAGCCAGTTAGAGCGCAGGCGAGGTCGACGGTCAACCGCAGGCGAGGTGGTGCCTGCATGTGTGTGTTTGTGCGGGCGGACTGACTACTGTGTGCACACATACAGCAGTTTGTCCACACAATTATGTAGTGGAAGTGGTAAGGTTTTCGCTGGTGGTGTCTTCCATGCCTATCTGGGCCTTTGTCCCCTAAGCAGCAGGTGATTTACCTCACACTCTGATCCAACAGGTCTCGGAAGGAAATAGGGGGGGGGGGGGAGGGGGTACGGAGCGAGACGATGCGCAGCCACGCTGTCACGCATGGAGGCCGGGACAGTCTAGCACACCATTTTTTAAGGAACCCTCAAAAAACGTTATCCGTGGTTTTTCAAATAAAATGAGAACACCGCCATTTCCCAGATAAGGTTTCCAACCCTAACAGCTGCAGTCCACCAGAAATATGGCTGCGCCGCAGGGCTGCTTCGCTATGGTGGTACTGACTTCTTCTAGAGTACATGTTCAAACTGACGCATCACAGAAGTTTCGCCACTAAAAGTGGCGAGACTTCTGTGATGATGATGTGATGTGATGATAAAAAATATGCGACGTGCCATGTGCATGAAAAAAAAACAACGAAAAAAGTTTATCTGTCGCAGTTTGTCGAGCTAAAAGCTGTTCGTTGCGGTCCCAAACTGTAGTGCTCGTAGTCTTTCATGTTGCAAGGAAAGTGGACCCACCGATTTAGCAATATCTGGATATGCAGTAAGCTCTCGATGCGGAGCTCTGTTCTCGGTGGATTTAGACAACTGCGCATCTCGGAGTGCTCCGTACTTGAATATTATGTCTACGTTCAAACATTTCAGAAGTCCGGACAGCCAGCGCCTAATGCACAGTCTTTACTAACCGTGGGACGCCAGAACGATGAGAAAACATCTGGGAAAAAGCTCGGGTAAGTTGTACTCGCCGTGTCCAACGCCTCGTTTTCTGCACATTCACGATGTCATGTCGAACTTTTCCAGACGGACATCCCTCCGCCTTCACCTTGGTGAAGTGTATAGACCGGCACCAGTTGGTGCGCGAGGGATGTCGTGTGTTCAGCGAGGAGTTCCCCGCGCACCTGCGGGCACGCGCCCAGCAGATCTGCCGTGTTCGAGGGTCTGTGCTGGTTTTCACGTGGTCGGCAGGGAGCCTCCTTTGTGACCCCTGCAGGCGCGCGCCCCGCCGATCGGCCGTGTTCGAGAGTTTGCGCTGCTTTCCGCGCGGTCGGCGGAAGCCACCTGTGTCATCTCGGCGGTTGCGCGTCCCGGCAGGTTCGCCGTGTTCGAGGATGAGTCGGCGGCGTGTGAGAGTGCGCCTGACGCCGCTCCGTCCGCGGCCAGCGCGTCCATACAGACTGAGCGGCCCGGGCAGTACGACGCGGAGGTAGCGCGGGCCGACATCTGCGCCGGTGAGCCGACCACTGCCGGCCGCTCCCCACCGGCGACTGCTATCCCACCGCCAGAGCCCCCTCCACGCCTGAAGGCATGGTCATGAAGGAAATCCCGTTGGTGGTGTTTTTTTCACTACGTTTCTTCGTAAAGCTATTCAGCTACTTTTAATCTCATCTAGGATTCATTTAGAATTCCTCCCGGTTGTGTACATATGGGGGGGGGGGGGGGGTAGTGTAAGCCTTTGTCGATGAAATATGCACTGTTCATAGTAGCATTTTGGCTATATTCATGCTTGTGAACTTGGTCCCCTGGATTGTTGATGCGTATGTACATGCAATACCCGCCACCGCTCATATTAAGACTGATATGCCAGCAGCCCGATTCAGAAGATCGCCACGGCTCTGCGGCACCTCCCACCGATGCTGGTGGGGTATCTGTGCGTTGTGGAGACGTCCGCGCGGTGTCCCGTATGTGGCTGAACGCGGCTGGCGCCGGCGACGCCAGCGTCTCTGGCCATCCTGTCTCACACGGCCGGGTGCCCTGTCCGCCAGAGGTTCCGAGCGAACAGTACTGGCAGCGGCTGGCCGACAGCCGGCAGGAGGCGCTGCAGGAGACGCTGGATGAAAATCAGCAGCTGCACGAGAGGCTGGCGCAGCTGGAGGAGGAAAACAGGCTGCTGCGCGAAGCCCTGCAGCAGGCCGAAGAAGTCGTCGCCTGCGTCCAGGTGCGCGCCAGCAGCCCGTGTTCGTGCTTACTTCATTTGTGCTTCCTGTCTGTGTTTGTTTAATTCTTGCTGTCTGTGATATTCGGTACATCCTTTTGTTTTGCGCTTCATTTGTGCCATTTGACGGTAGTATTGAGGCCTTATTCATGCCGCCATTGTCACCGTTATCCGCCGTCTGACATGTGTCTCACGTTAACAGTAACCTGTCGTGAAATCAGTCCCACCGGAGCGCTCACGCGCCCGGCGACGGTCACAAACGACCGGCCAGTACGCGGGAGGAAGCGAACCCAGCCGTGTTTCTCCGCTGTCCTCGCTTCAGGAGGGACCCGGGGACCGAGTTGCTGCAGGCTGGATCATGTAATGTTCCCTCTTCGGGAGGGGCCTGGGGACCGAGGGGCTGCAGACTGAACCGTGTGATGTTCCCGCCCCAGGAGGAGCCCGAGGACCGAGAGCCCGTAGATTGGGCCGTGTGAAATCCCCGTGTCAGGGGGGGGGGGGGGGGGTCCGGGCATCGAGAGCCTGCAGACTGGAACGTGTGATGTCCCCGCTTCGGGAGGAGCCTGGAGACGGGGAGCCTGCAGACTGGACCGTGTGATATCCCGACCTCGGGAGAGGCCTGGAGACCGGGAGCCTGCAGACTGGGAGCCTGCAGACTGGACCGTGTGATGCCCCAGCTTCGGGAGAGGCTTGGAGACCGGGAGCCTGTAGACTGGACCGTGTGGTGTCCTCTCTTTGGGAGGTGTCCGGGAACCGAGAGACTGCAGATAATTGCGTGCTGACCGTCTGCTGTCCCCACTTCAGGAGTGGTCTCAGGAGCAGGAGACGGGACCTCACTGACAAGACCCGTCGCCGGCGCCATCTCGGTCCAAATCCCAGGAGAACTCGTCACGTCGCATCAAGGGTCTCGACGGCGACGATGAGCCACCCACCGGATCACTTCGTTCCCGACGATTACAGGAGGCTGGCTGTGTTAGTGATGACTCTTCCGGCGCGCGAACTGAGCGACTTTTATTGTAATTGACTCGTGTGTTCATGCTCAGCTAACGTGGACGTTTTGTACTGTCGGCCCCTGTAGCGCGCCTGGATGGTGAATAAACCATTGCTTTTTACGTTTTTATTGTACGTGTTTGGCAGCGTTTTTTTCCGCGCGAAACATCAGCCTGAAGGGGTTCAGCAGGATTTCTGCCCAGTGGTCAAGAGGATTGTCGAAGCCTCAGTGGGCGCCCAACTGTGACAGGAGCACGCTGTGAGAGGTATGCGGCAGATGTGAGGGTGACGTCATCACACCGTTTACGAGGTCACCAGCACTTTTCGCTTCTTCTTCGCGACGTCGTTCTGGACGGGGTCTTCGAAGTAGCTGTCGTTTTTCTCCTTGGAGGATTTCTCGGCCAGCACGGTGGCGGCCACCATCGCTTCCATGTCCTCCTTGTTGTAGTATTGATTCTACCGGTCACAGAGAAAAGCAACGTCATTTCATCGTGGAAAGGTGAAGGGTCACTGACACTGTCACGGACACTGTTTTTGACAATGTTGCTGGTGTTTATTGGCACACATTGCCACTGACGCCAGTGTCAGTGTGTTGACATGATTATGATGTGAATATTGACACTGACACTCGTCAGTGTCAATACGCGACGATATAAGATCTATCGTCCTTTTAGGGGCAATTATATTTCGCCGAGACAGGAACCGCATTTTAGGAGTTAGAGACGCCCAAACTGATAGAAGGATGTTAACTGATCTTGCATTAGGCGAGCGTCTCCTTAAACTAGTCCATACGTGAACGGTAGTTCTACGATAGCTTTAGGGGGGTATGTTGGAGATTTGGAAGGCAGGCGTTGCCACCGTCGCCATAATGCTCTGTGAATGGGAACGGCTGGTCCGCGGGACCTGAGCAGCCCGTACGGGTGCGGGATCATTGTCACTTGAGCCTCCTTTTCATAATGTCAAGACTTAATGTGGTTTGTGAAGGTGCGCAGTACTACGAATTGCTTGGGGCGAGGGTTCAGCACAGAAGAAATAACTTCGGACTTTTCCCGCGTTACAGGTACTTTTCCACGCGCAGCATTTCCACCAGTAACTTCTCAGGTTGTCGTCAGGTGTCCGTTAGTTTTCAGCTTAGCCTAAGGATGGTTGACGCGCAGTCACGTGCATGCGTCTCAGCCTGGAAAGTTTCGGGTATACTCGAGCTTCGAACCTCAATCCTGCTATTGAAAGAGCCGCGTAACCAATGTTTCTAGGGCTAAGTGGTTGGGTCGGGCAGACAATGAAAATAGGCCGAAGTTGTGGGTCCGAAAACGCCGACTGCCGTAGCACTAATGGACCGAAGCGTCGCGCGCGGAATGCTACAAGTGGTTCGTGCAGTAGTCTCGGTGATTGTTCCACCTGTGGAATTTGCGTTCCTAGATTTAAAGAACCAAATGCTCCGCGAGAACGGATTTCGGGTAGGTGCGAAGCATAGCTTATCGCGGCCCTGTGCCCACCACAGCATCAAGAGCAAGTCCAGTTCAACGGACATCTTGTGCCAGAAGATGTTCAAGTGGCGTGCAATACCATGACACGTTAGACCCGGTTTCAGCACTGCTTTTCAAACCAATCGCGAATTGACAGTCAAGGATGAGTCCTTGATTAGGCCGCATTAACTTTGCTTCTGGAACATGCTGTGAACATCATCCCTGCTGTGCATTGGTTAGCGCTCAATGTGCTAGCAGCTGAGCGCAGGCGCCATTGCCCAGTGATAACGAATGTCGCAAAGACAGGCCGAAAAGAGTTGGCAGCAAGTTTGTGTGGTGAGATGTGGTGAACGAGTTCGTATGGTTTTGTGCACATATCCCATGATCATGTTAGATGCGTGTTAGGACGTTCAAATCTTAGACAAACGGAGAGGACTCGGTTAAGGAGAGGCCTGTGCTCTTCATTTTTCGAGATTTTGAAGAGCCTGTAGAGGCGTGTTTTCATGCTCGCAGTTTGAGGCTAGTACACAAGAACCCCGTTTGCGGTACTGGTGCGGCTTTGGTGAATGACAGTCAAGGCACATGCCGCCTGGTATCCTTCATTCATCATGAGATTTCGAAAGATGAACCAATACATGCGGTAATTTGGAAACCTTACTGCCTCATGCGTTGTGCGCACCGCCTGTGGCAATTCCAGATCACGCTACTCACTGACAGTTAGATTCTGACAGACGGAGCCCGATAATCGCGAGGACTCGATCGACCACGGAGAGCGGCATTACAAAACAGCCCGTGCAACAGCCATGTGAGCTGACCCGCCCCGATTGGCGGCCAAATCTATCACCATAAGTACTACATCATGTAGGATTTCTTGTACGCAGGTGGACTGCCAGCAGACGGATGGCAAGTGAGCGTCAGCATCGGTTAGTGCGTGGTTTGCGCTGGGTCGATAGGCACTTGGACCATCGACCGGCTCACCAAGGACAAGCTGTAAAAACCGAAGCGCCTCACTACGGGAAATGAGCAGTGTATTAAAGTGGGCTAAATCTGGAGTCCACCGCCCCTTTACCAGAACGGGCGATCACTTCATGTAACAAAAAGAGCAGCTTCTATTACCCTTTCTTCAGCGACCAGCATCTTACTGTTCTAGCAGTCCAGAACATTCCAAAGGCAGCGAAGTTTGAGGTCACAGATCCTTGACGAATCTAAGGTACCGCAAAGATAAGTTTGTTTTCGCCTGCCCGCCTGCAACATTCGGATGCAGCACGTAACTTCCGATCGTCACCAACCTGCCGGTCGGGCGGACGCGGGTCCGCCAGCTCCGAGACGGACGCCACTCACCGGTGAGTTGTAGCACGTGATGACGCCGTAGATGACCGAGATCCCGCCGAGGCTCATCAGAGTGGCGCCCACGATCGTGCCCACATCCGCCATGATGAGGTCGCCCCGTGGTGCGGCTGCGGCGCCAGTGGCCGCCGTGCGGGGCAGCGGCCAGGCCCGGTCCGTGTGTTTCCGCGTCGCCAGGTCACCGGCCGGGTCGCCATGGGACGCCGGTGACGATCGATACCGAGTGCGGGCCGCCGAGCGCGCCCACTGCCCAGGCGACGGTGCGTGGCGACACCGAGTCACTCGTGTCGCGCCCCCCTGGACATGGCCACGCCCGCCGCGCGGCTGCACGCACCTGGTGCTCGGCAGCCGGCCTACTGGGCGCCCCTGCCTGTGGTGGGGAGGCGCCGACTGCGGCAGGGCGGCCCCAGCCGGTGACCACGGTCGCGTCCAATTCTTGTCAGACTGCTGGGCGGTGCAAGGTCCTGGCCTGCCGCCTTCTGATGTGGGCAGCTGTGGAGCCGCGCGCCAGCTCTGGCTCCAGCTCCAGCCCAGTACTGTTTGGCTGCTGAGGCTGCGCGTGGCGCCATCTACCACGGTTGCTTCGGCGGTCCGCGAGGTGGCGCACGTGCCCGCAGCTTGGCTGGCCGTCACGGGGTGGCATGGCACGCGGGACGTGTGGTATGCCGGGTGCACATTCCTGATGCATCATTCAGGTGTGGGCTTTCGACGTGTATTGCCATTATGGCTGTTGGTCTGGTGACTCTCTCGGGTGGGAATATTGAATAGTTTCCACCATAGTTAAGCGATTGTTCTCGGAAGGGGCGCGCTGTAGCTTTCATATCACCGGTCTACCCCGGATATGGTTCGGATATAGGTGTAATTAGGCCACGGTGCCGTGACCGGCTCCGTCAGGACTTGGTGAGCGATCTTGGGGCGCCGCCGCCAGGGAGCAACGCGAGCCGTGGTCGGTATGGTCGCCAGAGGGCGGTCAGGGCTGTGTCTCGGTGTTCCAGCCGCCAGGAGGCGTCCAGGGTTTGGAACTCGGCTTTCAGGGCACTCCGAACGGCGGCCTCGCTGGGTTAGGCCCTAGGGTATTGAGCTTAAGATGGTTACGGTCCTTCAGTGGGGGAGGGGATCTGCCTTCCTTTGTTTAGTGCATAACACTCGTCAACGTGCGAGGTGTGTTTCGTGACTTGTAACGACTTTCGTCCATAATTTCGTGGACAATTTGAAACTGAAGCCTTTAGCGATTAACGTTCGGGCCCATCATTTAACTGAAATTCCAATAGCAATGCTGAACATGTAGTGGAGCGTTCCTTCATGCGGGGCGCCGAGGCTGCTGTTCGATAAACAAGAAATCAGCCGACCGGGCTGCGCGCAACAACCGTTTGGCAGGCGGTGCATGGCTTTGTTTTGTGTGATGTTTAAAATTCCAGGCACAAAAATGCAATCTTAGGGTGACCTAGAGGTCAACTTAGGTCAGCTTGGGTCAAATTCATTTTAGAAAAATCGGAATGAAACATTTGAAATACCTAAAAATAAAGACAAAAATGCAATTTTCGGCTGACCTAGAGGTCAGCTGAGATCAACATGAGTCAAATTCATAAAAATCCAGATGAAAAATTTGAAATACTTAACGGGTTCAAGTGACCAGTACAACGTTTCTTTTGTGACCAGAAATAGTGTGCTGTACATCTACAGGTTCTGAAGATTGCATAGTATTTGTACACATTATACAAAGTCCCTCCAATGCTTGGCAATGCATTTGTAACCAACTGAGAACAGGCGCGTTGGTAAATGAAACAATGCGCCATCAGTGTCACAAACGCGATATAGAGGTGACTACACGCGTCGCACTCGTCCACCTAGCCTATCCGCTACTGACAACAGTGGTCATTGGCCTTGGGAAACCTCATATGACCTTGCATGCTTTCACGTGCCCTACGTCACGTGACCTCGCTATGCATTATAATTATATCATAGCGTATTTTGAGTAGAATACTCAGATTCTGCGCCCAAAATTACGTATTAAAACAACATATTTTGAGCTCGGCACGTGCTTTCCAAAAGATAGGTTATGACCTAGGCCGATGTCACGTGCTCTATGGTCATGTGATAGTTGCACACGTTAGGTTGACACCCATATCCCCATAAACTAGAGCAAGTTTCTACAATAGAAAATAACGCACGAAAAAGTTGTGCGCAGGCAATTTTTTTAGAAGCTGATCTTGACCTAACCTTGACGGATCAAAACTTCCGACTTGCAAAGAGAATGCCGAACTTTTAGATATACAGGTACTGGAAATTCGGTGTTGCTCCAAACGTTC